TGGCTTTGAGCCAATTTGCATTGCAAAGCCATAAAAAGCGGGCAGCTAGTGGCAGCTAGTGGCAGCCACATACATACAAACAAGCGTATGCCAGTTGCTCGCTGCCCACTTGACATGCCACATGCGACATGCAACAGGCGACAAAGCACAACAAAAGACTCAAGCAACGAACTCGCTGCCTTTTGGGCATATGTCACAACTTGTTGTTGCTGCTGCTGTTGCTGCGACTGTTATTAGTTGGGTTATTATTGTGGGCAGCAGCAGCAGCAGCAGCAACAGCATAAGCGCCTGCAGTTGCATATTAATGGCCACCAATCTCACCCCCGCACAACACACACCTGCTGCTCCCCACCCCCCGAATGCTGCCAATGTTGCCAGTGGCATTTGTAAGCAGGCAACAAGTGCCACCAAATTATTTATGGTTAATTCTTGAAAACACTGGCGCATGTTTGGCATATGTAAATTGCTTGAGCCACTTGGCAATCGTCTCACGTGCTTTGAACAAGTTCTTTGCCCCACCTCGCAACCCCCAACCGCCCCACCTCCACATCCCACAAACCTGTCAGTTGACAATCGATAGAAAATCTGACGTAGAAAATAATACGCTACATAATGGCCAGCTGCAGTGGCAGTTGCAGTTATCATTTTGAATTTTAAAGTTAGTGTTTGTCTGTCTGTCTGTCTGTCTGTCTGTGTGTGTATGATGCAAGTCTCTTCTCACACTTATCGCTCTCTACCTGCCTTTGCATTGCAACCATCTGCCAGCTGTGGCACAGATTCAGATACAGATACAGGCACATAGAAGAGAAGACAACTGTCGCACAGGTCACAGCTATAAATACAATTGCCAATCTCAGCTGCAGTGAAAAAGGTCAGCGTTTTTGCTTTGCTGCTTTTTTTGTTTGCTTTTGTAATGGCGGAAGCAACTACTATAAAAACAGCAACAGCAACATCTCAACTGTCATTAGAATCATTTAAACAAATACCCAATGTACAACCGCGGGGGAGGGGGAAATGGGAGGGGGTGGATATACATTATATACATACATACATACATACCTGCATTAAACACTCAGCAGTCAGCAGTCAACAATCAACAGCAGCCCCCGCTTTTTGCACAGCATAATGCTATAAATCAGCAGCAACAACAACAACAACAACAGCAGCAAACAGCAACAGCAAAAATCACAATAATTATTATTAAGTTAATAAATAGGAATATGCGAAAAACAAAAGCAAAAAATCAGCAAAGAAATAATGAATAAAAGCCATCGCAGCCAGCTGGCAAGTTGTTAACTCGTTTTGCATTCAGCTCGAGTCGAGTAGTTGAAATACACACACTCACACTCACACACACAGTGCACACGTATGTGTGTGTGTGTGGTTATCTCAAGGACTACCAGTAACTGTTGGCGCTGTTCAAAAAGTCAATTCAACTCAATTTTGCCATTTGACAGAACGATTTCAAGTGCTGCTCGCAAACAATAATTACAACAACTAGATCAACAGCAAAAAACCAGCAACAACTAGTTGCAGTTCCAGAGTTGGCCCAAAAAAAAAAAAAACTGAAATGGCTGCTACTGTTGTTGTTGTTGTTGCTGTGTTGGCCAATACTCTGTTACTCTTAGCCATGACCAACAAAATTGCAAATCATTCAAATCAAATTGTTGGCCAATTGTAAAGCTACTAATTACGACAAGGCTCGCAAAGTCGGCCCTAATCCCAACGATTTGCAACCGTTTTTTTTTTTTTTTGGCTACTTGCCACATGCTGTGCAACGATGGAGGATGTGGGGGTGGGTGGGGAGTGGGGAGTGGCATTGGTTGTGATGACCAAATTAATTGAAACTAAAAAGCGTGAAGTGAACTCAACTGAATTAATTAAATTAACATGCAACTATTTCTGACCCACCCAAGCAACAATTACAGCAACAATAAGTCACATGCTTGGTTGGTGTGTGTCCAGGTTGTGACACACACATACACACACACACACACATACACACACGAACAATACGCAATAAACTGGAAAAGCAATTAACTTCAAATAAATAAATGCGGCGCCCAAAACTATATACAACAACAACACGAACAACAACTGTCCCAATGACCACTTCCGGTGCACGGGGCTTTTCCGCCTATTAAACTCTTTTTCACTTTAAAAGCAAAACAAAAAGAAAACCAAGAAAAACGTATTTAAAGTGTGCTCAAGTTGTTTTGTGGCTATCACTTTTTGAGTACTTAACAATTAGCTGGAAACACATACATATATGTATAAAAATATAAATATTAATATCTATACTCGGAGATAAATACGTGAAGTGTGCAAATCGAGAGATAATGCTAAATGTGATTAACTGTACAATTACGAGTAGACGAGACAAATGCACTTGAGTACACTCAACACCACTCAACACTCAAAGCACATTCGAATGCATTCGGTGCTGAATTGTCACACCTTGTTGTGTCTCAGACAAGCGCCACAAGTCATTTTTCAAAAAGTTGACTCAGTTGGCGCTCCACAATTGACAATGTGTGCTATATATATAATATAATACAACAACAACAAATGTATTTACACCCATTTAAACATATATTTAGGCCGTCTCATTGCTGTTGCTGTTGTTGTTGCTGTTGATCGAAACGACAGCTTGAACCAAAAATGATTAACTAAACAAGAACAGCAACAGCAACAGCAACAATTGTAATTGGCAGTCTAAAAAGCAAAAGTGAAAAGCCTTTTCAACAATTTATATCACATATGGCGCTTTATGCGTTACTCCCCTCCCCTTCCCACCCATCCTGCTTGACCCTCAACACCTCTCTGGCTGTCTTTGTGTATTTGTGTGCTTTTGGCCTGTGTCGGGTTCTTAAGTGCGACTCAGTTTTCAACTCAACTCGTCAGCAAAGAAATAAGTAATAACAGTTGCGAGCTTGCCACTTCAGTTCCACAGGCCCAACGTAATACTATCGTTGTCCTCATATTCATGAATATATATATATATATATATATGTTGAGCAGCACTTTACCATTTGAGATTTGTCGACCGTTTTGGCGGCTGTCGAGTCGGCAGTTTGCAATTGTCAACTTGCAATTTGCAGTTTGATTTCGGACAGAAAAAAGCACACAAAATAACAAATGGCTCATACATATGCATGTAGAAAACGCTAGGTTGACAGTTTAAGCTCAGCTCCGCTCAGATTGGATTGGATTGGAGATTTGAAATCGAAATTGGGGGAGCTCAGGTTCAGCTGGACCGGTTTGTTGGGCAAAAACTTTCGGTCCGTTCCCCAAAAATGAGGTCGTTGTCAAAAAACAAAACAAAAAGCAAAAGCAAAAGCGAAAGTTCAACGCATTGGTTCTGGTTTTCTGTCGCCCTGTCGCCCCGTTCCACACTTACCACTCACGACTCACCTGTCGTCTGTCCTTTTTCTGTTGTTTCTTTTCTTGGGGTGTGCTTAAAGACGAGCTGATCCAAAAAACCCGCGCTGCTAAAGAGCTGACACACACACACAGCTGTTATCGCCTATTAAGAGGAGCAGCAGCAGCAGCAGCAGCAGGGTAAGACGAGCCAGCCACTATCATCAATGCTAAATAAAGTGACATGCGGTTGTTCGCGTGACCAGACGAAGTCCGAGTTCAAATTGCCATCAATTGCCATTTGCAGTGGCCAATTTTACAATGCTTGAAGTGCATTGTGCATTTTGGGCTCATTTGCGAATGCGACTTCCTTCCACGAGCCAAATTGTTGGTGGCTGACGCTTCACTTTTTTTCCCCCTTCTTTTTGTCTTTCTTTCGTTTTCCCACTCATTTCTGTAGCAGCGGGTATATATAATTTGGTCGTCAGGTGTGTAACATTTGTGAACCCATTATTAGCCAGCTCAGGGAGTGGGTCTCTTACCAATGATGAATGTTGGCTGCAGTCAACAATTACAGTTGCAAGGGTATTTCGACTTCGGCATTCTGCTAAACGACTCTTTCTTTTTTGTTTTAGCTTTTTGTTGTTGTTGGTTTTATTGTTTTGTGTTTTACTTTGTTTTACATCCACTTCCGTTTGACTACGTCAACATCTTTTGCATGCCGTTTCATTTGCTTGCGCACGCCTTGGCTTGACTGCTCCTATTAAATTGCGTTTAGTCAGCCACCGCATCGTTATCGTAATCGATGTCGCCATCATCATTATGAACCATTATCATTATCATTATCATCATCACCATCATCATCATCATCGTTGTTGTTATCGTTTAGCTGCATGGCAATGGCAAAACCGGGAGCAATGGCAAAACCAGAGCAGAGTAGAGTAGAGCTGATGTAGCAACAGCCCTGCCAGCTGCCAGAGCAGCTATTGAACTTCACTCAACACACAATTCTTCCACCTCTTTCCAAGCAGGCGATACTTGCATTGATTAGTGCAAACTCCGATCGATAGCCGGAGAGTCAGCAGCAGCAATCAAGCAATCAGCATGATCAAGTTTCGATACAAACGGAAGGAGCCGAGCAATGTTGTTGGTCCCATTGTGGGGACGCCTCCCACTTCAGCAAGTGCAGCTGCTGCAGCTGTGTCGGGGAGTTCGCATCCGGTGCAGCACGCGCACCTGCAACAGCTAATCAGCAACAATGGAACGCTGCCGAGAAGTAGCCCCAGGAAACTGCTGCTGGACTCTGCCGGCGAGGGACACAAATCGGCCACTTTGACGCGACAGAGCAAGCAGCCAAGTCAGGTTTGCGCACTCGCCAAGGTGTCCAGCAGTGTGGAGCTGGCAGTGCTAGGTTACGGAAGCAACAGCAAGAGCAACGGCAACGGCAATGTTAACAGCAACGGCTGCCCAAGCGCAACAACGATTGGCAATGGAATTGAGCGCGATCGCTGCATCAATGCAGTCATTGTAAGTCGTGAAGACCATAATCATTTGCAATGCCTAGTTATAGATTGATAGACATGTACTTATTGAGAGCGAACCATTTACTAATTACCCATCGCTCATCTTACCGAACACAGGAACTGTTTCAGCAGCTGCAGACGAGCTCGGAGCCAGCTCTGTGCCCGGAGCCACTGCGTCGTGCATTGGCCAGCGGTCCACTCGCCGGCCGACGCTTTCCACTCGGCTGTTTGGGTGATGCCGCCGAATGCTTTGAGCTGCTGCTGCATCGCGTCCACTCGCACATCTCCCCCGACGATGGTGACTCGTGCGAGTCATCCGCCTGCATTGCCCATCGACGCTTCGCCATGCGCGTCATCGAGCAGAGCGTCTGCAAATGTGGCGCCAACTCCGAGCAGTTGCCTTTCACGCAGGTGAGTTTATCACATTTCCACTTTTTAATGAGATTTACAAACACCTCAAGATTCTGTTCCTCTGTTGTTAACTCTCAAACCAATTATGTTTTCACTGGGCTTAGTTGATTGTAGTCAGCGTAAACGTTAAAGCTGCGGCAAATCCAGCTAGTTGTATTTAAATCTAAATTAATTGTGCTCATGGCGTGGGCTTGGAACACCTGCAGCAGCAATCAGCGTTAGCAGCTGCTATGTAAATGTAAATTGGCCAGAACAGGAACCGAGGGCTCTCACAGCAGAACAGAATAGAAAAGAATAGAACAAAACGGAACAGGCCTGATCATTTATAGAACAGTTATTCATTGGCCGTTTGCAAAACGGGTTTTCGCTCACTAGCGTGAACCGGAACCTGTACGTGAACCTGAACCTGAACCTGATCGTTAATATGAAAATGTAACCTGTTTTGGAACCCCCACAGTGGGCAAGCCAAAAGAAAAAATAAAAGCAGTTGGGTCTGTTGGGTGACATGGGTGACCAAGGCGGCGATCTTTGCTTGCAGTTGTAATATTTGGCATTTGTTTTTTATATTCCCAACCCACAGATGGTGCACTATGTCTCCGCTTCGGCGCTGACCTCACAGAAGAGTCTCGCTCTGCAGAATCATCAACAGTTGAGCTTTGGCCAACTGCTACGCGCTGCCGGCAACATGGGCGACATACGCGACTGTCCGGTAAGTTGTGCTGATCCAGCAGCAACTAAGAATCCGACATAGTTTCGATGCTAACTAATCGATGTTAATCCTCAATAGAATACATGCGGTGCCAAGATTGGCATTTGCCGGGCGCTACTCAATCGGCCGGATGTCGTCTCCATTGGCATTGTGTGGGACTCGGAGCGTCCAGCTGCCGATCAGGTGCACGCCGTGCTTAAGGCCGTCGGTACGAGCCTGCGACTGGCGGATGTCTTCCATCAGGTCAGCGAACAGCGCTGGGCCCAGCAGGCACAGCATGAGCTGGTTGGCATTGTCTCGTACTATGGCAAGCACTACACCACCTTCTTTTTCCACACCAAGCTGAAGGTGTGGGTCTACTTCGATGACGCCAATGTCAAGGAGGTCGGCCCCAGCTGGGAGGGTGTCGTCGACAAGTGCAGTCGTGGTCGCTACCAGCCACTGTTGCTCCTCTACGCCGTGCCCCAACCGCCCAGCTCTAATGGCAGTTGCAGTCAGGCACCAGCCTCTGGGACTGCCATGGATCTGCCGCTCGGCAGTGGCTCGGCGTCTGTGTCTGTGCGCAGAGCCGTTACGCCAAGTCCGGAGAAACCGAATTTGGGCAACACCAGACGCGCCATCACACCAACTCCCACACCATCGCCGCTGCGGGCGCCGCTGAACGATTATCAGAACCTGAGCGTCATACAGAAGAGCATCTTTCCCAATGCGGGCCCAGTTACGGGCCCGACTGCTGTTGTCTCTCTGCCCGCTGGCAGTGACGAGACGGACGCGTATATCAGCCGCAAGACGGTGGAGCATGTACTGAGTGCCCAGTACCAGAACCTGAGCGTCATCCAGGACAAGATTGCATCGGCCGCAGCGGTGGACAAGGAGGGTGGCTTTCTCAATCGTAAACCGATCGAGGCAATGCTCAGTGCGCAACTGGCGCGACGACAACATTTGCAGCTGCAACGGAGCCACAGTGCCGAGTCGAGTTCGGGTAATGCGAGTGGCGCCTCCAACGGCAGCTCGCCGCCCAGCGATGGCCTCACCATACCCGAGCATCTCAATCAGCCGAGGCGTCGCGACTCGGGCAACTGGTCCGGTGATCGTAATAGCGCCAGTTCGGCCAGCTCCACCACACTGGACAATCCCTATCTGTATATGGTGGCCAAGCGGGGCGTGGCCGCAGTGCCACAGAGTCCAACGCGGCACGCCGGACACGTTGCACATGCCGCACACAATGCTCACAACGGACACAATGGCCATGGATTGCCCTACGATCCGGGCTATGATTCGTTCTCGTTGAGCTCCACGGACTCGTATCCGCCCAAGCATGCACTGAATCCCCAGCTTGCCAAGATACCAGAGGCAGCTGCTGGTGTGGGTGCATCAACACAAAATGGTGTCCAGGCGCATGGACATGGTCTGGCGCTGTCCGGTGACTGTGAGAAACTGTGCCATGAGGCCGACCAGTTGTTGGAGAAGTCCCGTCTGGTGGAGGAGTCGCACGACTTGGAGACTGCCCTGGTGCTCTGCAATGCGGCTGCTGGGCGAGCGCGTGCCGCAATGGATGCACCCTACAGCAATCCCCACACAATGACATTCGCCCGCATGAAGCACAATACGTGCGTTATGCGAGCACGGAGTCTGCACCGGCGCATTCTCGTCGAGAAGGGTGCCGAGAGCGAGGCGATGCCAGAGCTCAAGCATATGCGGGAGGGCAGCAACAGCAGCGTTAAGCATATGCGTCAAAATAGCAAGGATCGAACGCTGGAGAAACTGGAGCAATCGACGCCACAGCTGCTGACAGCTGCGTCCTCGTCCGTTGCCAAGAGCATCGAGATCTATGCAACGCTGCCCAAGCGCAAGAGTCCGCTCAAACCGTTGCCCAGTGCCCACGACGATAATGCCATCGAGTACGACCACCAGCTCATTAGCAGCAGCAACAGCAACAGTGGCAACAGTTCCCAGCACCAGCACCAGCAGCAGCAGCAACAACAGGTGAAGCCGGAACGTGAGAGTCGCTCACTGTTCGGTCGTCGGCTGGGTGATAAGGACAAGGACAAGGAGAAGGAGAAGCGCAGTCGCAGTGAGGATCGCAATAAGTTGACGCGCGAGTTTTCGCTGACGGAGACGCTGCTCGTCAATGCCAAGGACACGCTGAAGAAGCACAAGGAGGACAAGGATGAGAAGAAGGAGAAGGATAAAAGTGGCAAGAAGCAGCATAAAATACGACGCAAACTGCTAATGGGCGGACTCATCCGACGCAAGAATCGCTCCATGCCCGATCTCACTGAGGCCGTCGACGATGCCAGCAACGCTGTCAATGCCACAGCCAGCGGACGTGTTCATGCCACAACTCCAGCGCCGCTCACCAGCTCCGTCGATGACAGTGCTGTCGGACTGAGCCTGCACGGGCATGCGAAGCACGGCCACGCCTACAACTCAATGGCCGCAATGAGCGGCTACATTTCCGAGGGTCACTTTGACTATGTCGTTGGCAATGCATCCGGCAGTGGCAGCGGCAGCGGCAGCAACTGCTCCGGCACCTCTGCTGCAGTGCTGCAGTGCAGCGCCAATCCAAATCTCGAGCGCAGCAAGCTGATGCGCAAGAGTTTCCATGGCAGCGGACGCCAGCTGACCATGGTACCCAAGGTGGCGCCACCGCCCCCAATGCGCACCAGCTCCACCCTAACCGCCCAGCAGCAACAGCAACAATTCCATCACGAGGCGAATCTTTCGAATCTATCGGCCATGAGCTCGAACACCTCGATTAGCGAGGATTCGTGCCAGACCATCATCACCACCTGTGCCCAGGTGCACTGCGAACAGAGTCCGCTGAAGGAGCTACAGATGCTGGAGCTGCCAATGCCAATGCCGATGGTGCTGCCAGCTCCATTGGAGTTGCCACCGTATCCGAGTCCGCCGCAATCAGTTTGCCACTCGCGGCAGGCGAGCGAAGACTTTCCACCACCGCCGCCGCCCGAGATCGATCTGGAGCCGCTCAACCAGCAGCTAAACCATCTGCACGCTTTGGAGGCGGCCAGCAAGCAACAGCGTCAGCAACTGGACTCTCTGGAGGGCACCACCAGCATTCTGGCCCAGCTGCAGCAGCGCCAGCACTTGCTCAAGCTGCGCAAGGAGCAAGCAACGCCCCTGCCCCAAATCTCCATGCCATGCGATAATGCTGGCAGTGGCAGTGGTGGCTGGGTGAAAGAGCTGCAGGCAAAACAAACCGATCTCAGAGCGCTACAACGGAAACAGGAGGCACCCTCGCCCAGCAGCGTGCGCGATCTGGCGCATCGCTTCGAGCAGTCCCAGACTAACCTGAGCAGTTCACCCATGCGCTCCTACGCCTCCCAGGAGTTGCTCAGCCCCAATTCCGGCAATAGCAACAACTCCAACGCTGCCTCGTTGCGCACCCAAATGAACGGGCTGCCCAACTGTAAACTGGATGCAGATGAGGTGGACTCAGTTGCTCCCAGCCGCATGCCCATGCCAGCTGCCATGATGGGAATGGGAATGGGTGTGGGTGTTGGTGCTGGTCATCATCAGATGTTGGCCAAGCCCAAATACGAGATGTCGCAGTCCCAGATCGCCGAGGAGATACGCGAGGTGGAGCTTCTTAATTCGATGGTGCAGCAGACTCTGAACCAGAGCAATCTCAATCAGTTGCCCAAGCGAGTGAAGAAGAAGAGTGTCTCGTTCTGTGACCAGGTGATATTGGTGGCAACCGCTGGCAACGAGGAAGACGATGACTTCATACCCAATCCGATATTAGAGCGTGTCCTACGCACTGCCCAGCATCCCAACGATAAGGTCACCGCCCAGCTCATCCAGCAGCAGCAGCAGAATATGCTGCGATTGCAAACGGAGCCACAGCCACGACAGCAGCAGCAGCAGCAGCAACAACAACAGCAGCAACAACAGCAACAACAACAGCAGCAACAGCAGCAGCAATCATCGCCAATGCTGGGCAGACCGGACATGCAGCGATATGTGCAACGACAGCAACAGTTGCTGCAGCAGCAACAGCAACATCAGGAGTTGTATCGCCTGCAACAGCTACAACAGCTGCAGCAACAACGCACCAGCATGAGCGGCATTGCCAGCCAACAGCATTTGCAACAACAACAACAGCAGCAGCAACAACAACAGCAGCAGCAACAACAACAGCAGCAGCAGCAGCAACAACAACTTGACGCACAATACACCAGCATGCCAAGGCCGATACATCATGCACATCAGCAGATGCCGCAAAGCTATTCGGTGCAGTTGCAAAAGCATCAGCATCAGCAACAACTGCAACAGCAACAGCAACAGCAACTGAATCTTGCCTATATTCAGCAGCTGCCCGAGCAGCCGTTGCCCTCGCCTTATCAGCGTGTGCCCGTGCCGCATGGCTATCAGCCAGCTGCCCCAGTTGCAGGCTCAGTGCCTGCTGCAGCCGCAGGACCCTACTACACACCAACAGCTCAACAACAGCAGCAGCAGCAACAACAGAAACAGGCGCAGAAGAAGGTCAGCTTTGAGCCAGGCACAAAGGGGGAGAGTGCGGAGTGTTTGCCACCACCGCCGCCGCCACCACAGTCGAAGCTGACGCTGCAGAATGGTCTGCCCGATTCCGCGGGCAATAGTAGTAGCAATAGTAGTAGTAGTAATAGTAGTAGCAGTAGTCTGATTGGTGGCAACGCCGCAATCACCGCCATTACTGCCATACCCACCCGCGTCTACAACAATGCCATCGTGAAGGCCTCCGCAAAGGCCGTCGAGTGCAATCTGTGCCGGAAACGGCACGTGATTGCCCCCGCCGTCTACTGCACCAACTGTGAATACTATCTGCAGATGCTGAACCAGCGCAGATGATGCTAATGCGCCGTCGTAAGCAAGTCGTATCTAATCGTAATCGTAATCGTAATCGTAAGTGGAAACTCGTAATCTCAAGCAATGCTGCCACGCCGCCCAAAATCGCCCATAGGATCATAGTTAAGATGATGACTAACATAAGGATGATGTGATTGAGGAGTGTACATAGAGCTAATTATCACTGTTGCACTGTTCCACTGTTGGGGAAGCAGGAGAGCAACTAAAGCCAGACAGACACCGGGATGCGATCAAATTGTTGCTCGGCGTTGCTCGTGAGGAGTGAGTGGCAACAGCAACAGTCCTTTTATGGTTTCACATAAGATGTCCCAACTGTGCCTTGCCACGCCTTTGCCTTTGCCTACGCTTGCGCATACACACACACACACACACTCACACACACGCCCACGCACACTCATGTTCCCAGCACACAAACATATATGTATACTTGCCTATATCTAACACTCGTCGCGCTCACAACGAACATTAAGAATAATACCAACAACAACAACAACGACTAACTCCATCCAGCCTGGCTTCCGCAAAATCCTTCATTTTTTTGTTTCTGTTTTTTTTTATCAATAATTTTTTTATCAATTTTTTAGCATGTACTTAATACTTACTAATTTGTATTGGTTTGATTAATTTTTCATACATCGAATAGAGTTAAGAGCCCTTTTTTTTGACTAGACGTACGCAAGTTTGAAACTCAGCCGCTGAGCTTCCGCAGCCGCCTCCGGGAAGTTGTCGAACGACTGCCGGAAATGGTTTTCTTTTATTTTTTTTTGAATACCTATTATATGAACTACCTTAAGCATTTATTTTGATATCGACTTATCGTGTACTTAATAAGCATTTTAATTTCAGAATACTCTTTTTGATGCATTTTATACAATTTTTTTATTTAAATTAATAGCGCTTAAGATGTTTAGATATATACTTTCATATATTATAACGATTTTTGAAGATTTTTTCTTTACAGAAAAGATGCGAGAAAAGATATAAGACAGATGGAAAATCATATTTTAATAAATGGAAAGAAATAAATTGAAATTGGTTTTTATTGGGTTAAATCTTTGATTATGCTTGGGTCCCAGCAATCTTAAATGGTGCATAAATATTTCTCAGATATTAATGTGTGAAACACATACATATGGTCCAAAACACTACCTTAATTTTGCAGCACACTTATTGGATGACAAACAAGAGCAAACACAATTTACTGAATGCTATTGATATATTGTATATTTTTAGGATGCGGCTGATTTACTCAGTGCTGTAAAGTAATTAAAAATAGCATACTTTCAGGCAGATATAAAATACAATATTAATTTTCAGCAAAATAACTCTAATTCTTCCAAATGCTTATGGATTTCAAAAGGATATGGAGCAACTCTAACGAACTACATTCAAGGATTAAGGGAGCATCTAACAATCCTAAAATTTGTACAAATCTCACTTGCAGTGCAATCGGAAATGATTTGATATCAGAAAATACTTATTTTAATGTGGGTATCTAGAATCCGTATAGCCCATGACTGAAATTCATCAATCAATTTTTTCCGATTGATTATGTTTATGTTACAATCCGATCGTGTTCGTGATGTCTTCAACTCAAAACTGAGTAGCTCTAACCTTTTCTGTATAAATATTAATACAATTTAATGCTTATGGTTAAAGTAAATTGGTCTCAACTTAAAATCAAATAATAATAAGAATCGGCCATTGTGATTTTAATGTAAGTTGGACAATTATTTGCCTTAAGTGAAGCACATTAAACATTAGTTTCTTTTTTGCATATCTAATCAAGAATTATTGGCTGAAACTTATGAAAAATATGAAACGAATGAAATCCGACATCCTTAAGGCGATAAACATTCGAGCAGTCCTTAAGATGGTACATTTTCCATCCCATTATCCAATTTCGTAGAATTTATTCTGACCTGTAAATCTGTTGATTGAAATTTGTTTGCAAATTCTGCAAATCCTTTATGATTAATTAAAATATAAAATAATAAAAACAGATGAATTTCGATTTGTTCAATTTACATATTTTTATTTCCAAAAATCAAGATTGAAGTGGGTGTGTGTTTTTGGGTGTAATATTGTTGTATTCCTGAACCGATTCACATATATTCGTAGATGGTTGTTTTACGCAGATTTGAGTTTCTTAGCAAACAGGCTCAGGCGTATAACAGTTCCAGTATTTCCCGATAATATGCTGTTGCGTATAACGCATCAACACATTATGCATAAGAGTTATATTTACGATGAATTCGATTTATTGTTTGGCAACGAATTGTACTTTAAATTTCGAAAATTATGCATTCAACGAGCGTGTCTTATTTTTTTGCTTCAATTGCGTAAAACATTTAGCCGGAAGTGCTTAAATATTTAACGCAATTCGATGGTTTTCATTTCGCACTGAGCGCAAAGTAATCCAATTTTTACTTTGCAAACAGTTGTATATATTTATATATATATATATTTATTTATCTCTCTCTCTCTCTCTCGTATAGGTTTACGCTATTCAAGAGCAGAAACATTTCCAAGCCTAACCTTACGTTATTATTAGGTTATTATTATAATGGTATTTCAAGCCCCGTTTGGCGCAATTCTAAACCGTTTTTCAATAAATCTCGACTAGAATTACCGAACCGATTGAATTGCGGATTGTGATAAATGGAAAGTGTATCAAATAATACACGACTTGTAGTATGACATGACTTCTGGTGTGTGTGTGAGGTGTTCTTGTTCTAAAACGTAATTGAAACAAATTCAGAAGGTGTTTACAATAATCAATGAAATCAAAGATCAAACACAAAAGGCTGTAAATAAAATCAATGAAGATTGTCTTCTGGGTCGGGTCATCCTTCGAGGTACGAGAAATCCTTTTCTGTGGCAGGCAGCCAGGCAGTTCGCTGTTGAATGAATCAAAAGTTATCATTAGAATTCAATGTGCAATAATCTGTTACCATCATTACCATCAATTGCGATTGGTGTTCGCACTGTAAATGACCGCTAATATATAGATATAAAATGAAAGTCTTGGCTTGATAATGCTTGCACAATCTAAACTCTTACGAGAGCAAAGCATGGCAAACGCTTCAATCGCAGGATATGCGGCTAAACAAAAGTTGACAAGAAATGCTGGGGCAGGGGTAAAAACACAGTTCACAGTTCACAATTCCCAGATAGATAAAGACTAATTGGTTGCTACGATTTGGAACGCTTTGAAGTCGCAGCAACAACAACAGAAAACCAATAAAGAGATGAACAAAAAGTAAACAAACAGAGAAATGCATAGAAAACTTTGGTTGCTTTTGGCGGGCTGGGCGTTCTTGGTCAGCCGTGAGTCTGGACTCAGCTGGAGACTCATCTGAAAGAACACAGCATGGAAATAGGTTAATCAATTTACCCAACAAATCTATGCAGCCCACTCGCACTGTATGGAGAGGAATCGCATCGCTGACCCATCCATAGAATTGCAGAAGCCTTTTGCTGTTGAACTTTGCTGCCTTTTACACTTATGTTTTATGTGATGCTCACTTTTAGGCAATTGATAATTCATTACGAGCATTGGCTTGCACACGTTCGTTATAGCGAGACAAGCCTGTTGCCCGAGCACTCGGCACACACAGCCAAGCAACAGGTTTGTCCATTTAATTCACTTTGGCTCATAACAAATATCAATTGCAACCCGCTCGCAAACTGCGTCATATTTCTATTTATATATTTCACTTTATGCATTTTTTCTTTTCTTTTAATGTCTTTACAATTTGCATTAATTCTTTTTAAAGTACGTTTTTTTATTATTGTCTTTAAGGTTTTTGACTTTTTTTTTTTAATTTTAAGAAATTATTGTCTTTTTTTACTTTTCATTGACTATTTTAATAGTCATTTTTTGTCCTTATTTGTTGTTAATAATTCGCACTAATCGTGCACATCACGTATAACATTACTATTATCATTATTATTGTTATTATTGCTATTATTATTGATTTTAATTATGACACGAGGTTTTCTTATTGATTGATTGGGCTAGTCCAAGAAGGCAGCGATTTCCATGTCAAAGATCAGCGATACGATTTCGGTGTCGAAGGCAAAAACTCACCTAAAATCAGCTATTTAAAATGCATGATAGTTTCTTGGCCATGAAACTAGGCTGTAAGCAATGCATTCATTAAATCGTATATAGAACAGAAACAGAACAGAAACCAAAGAAAGTTGCGATCTCAAAGCGAGAAAGTTGACAATTTTCAATAGTGTTGGATTTTCAACACATTTTTCGAATGTTATCTCAACCCGGGATGTGTTTTTGTGTTGTGTGTGTTTGCCCAGATCAAATATATATATGACAAAGTTTATAGGCTAGTTAACGCTGCGATCTCAACGTTGCTCAGTGCCAGCCTCTGCAAGAGTCCGTGCAGTGGCATCTTCCTCGGGTTCCAGTAATGTTTCGAGCGGTACTTTTCTCACAGTGTATGCTTCGACTTCTTCTGCTTCTTCAGCGTCAACTTCTTCTCCTCCACCTCCTCCTCCTCTTGACAGCCCAGACCAGCGACACGGCCTAAACTAAAACCTAAGCCCAGTCTTTAGTTCGTATACCCCCGCGTCTCTCTCTCTCGCTCTATTTCTCTCTCTCTCTCTCTCTTTGGGCGGATATTAATAACAGATTGTTAAATATACTAAATTGCATTTGCATATATTTATATATGTGTATGTGCCAGCAATGGATGATGATGTTTGATGGGTGGTTCTTTTGGTGGGTGGACGATGTGGTTACGATGACATTTTGTGGTTTATAGTTGTGGTTATTTTGTTTTTTTGTTATGACATTTGACATTTAACGGCATTGGCTGCCTCTCGATTCAGATCGGACATAATGCTATGTACACAGTTATATTTTGGTTATCAAGTCGCTAGTTATGCTTGCCTCGCCGAGGCAATGTTGGCGCCGAGTGTTGCCTGCTCAACGGCTGCGATTTGTAGTGGCTAAGGACAAGGGTTGAGGCTGGGACTCGAGACCCGGATTCGTTACGGGTATACACACCATGTGGCATGCATCAACTTGTGTTACGTTATGTGATCTCTGTCTCACTTTCGGTTACGATTGCGTTCTCCTTCAATTTCATGCAAGGTTAGTTGGTTGGTTGGTCTTTGCGCCTGGCTGGGTAAGGCTGTCTCGCTCGGACGCTTGTACACACTTGGCGAGCGAGATGGACACATGTATACGGTGTATGCGGTGGCACGGAGAGAACGCGCTCCTGCTCTGTTTGCTATTTGTCGTCTCACTCGCATCCATGTGCTGGCACTCGTGCACACACGATAAAAGTATGCGGACGCTTCTTCTCGCTTCTTGTGTGGATAGTGGCCGGCAAACGGATGCACCCGAAACTCTTTATGTTTATCTCTGTTCCATTTGTCCAGCTCGCCCGACAAGCTCTTCGCAAGCGCAAGTCCCCTTCTGGATACCGCAACTATACGATATCACGACCCTCCCCTGGCCAGACCCGTCAGCAGGCGCAAAGTGTGATTGATCCGAGTCCGTGGCAAGAGCCACATGGCCCGCCAGCGTCTGTCGACTTGACTCGTGCAGGCGCCACAAGATGTCGCACTGCGAAACAGGCACATGCGGAAACACCCGCATCCTCGGGAGACCTTGTGATATGGATTTAAGAGGTTTACTCAGCACCTCGCTTCGTTTATCGGATTGGTGGATGGGTGTTACGGTGATACAGTGATACAGTAAATGTGGCATGATGCTGGGGCACCCACTAAATACATACTTAAATATTGCCTTTGCCACTCCAAATTTTCACTGCGTAGTCGGACAAACTATGTGCTACATACAGTTGCACAGAAAACTCACAGAAAAAAAAAACAAACAACAAAAACTATACAAATTACAGCACTCTGTTGTTAAAACTGAGAATCGGAGTTATTTTCTTTCAAACCACACTTGCAAAAATAAATATATATGAATAACTATGCACTTGAAAAAAAACGAAGAAGATATTTATGTATAATGTTGGGCAACTGATGCCGTGTCGCTGGCTGGAGAGTTTGCACTCGACTGTGCCCGACGCTCAGCCAAATGCGGCGAAGTAGACTCGGTTTAGTCGGTCAACTCGGCTCAGACGGTTTTTCCGGACTCGTTCCGTCGTCCTTTGTTGGGTCTCTCAGGTAGCTGTTGCATCCCTTATGGAAGGGTATATTTTTAGGCACAGGCAGAGCAGCTGCATGTCCTGTTTTTCTGGATAATTCCATCCATTGTTTGTGGCACTTAGGTATGCGTATTTGCCGCATTTGCCACATTTACCTGACTGCCTGCCACTGACTCTTCTTCTTTAATCGCTGTTTCGGGGTCACTTTTTCTGTGCTGTTGGCAATGCCGTCAAATCGACAAATGCTGCTCACTGCATCATTATCGTTTTTTTGTTGGAATATTTATGTTTTCTGTAGATTTGTGGCACATTTAAAGAACGTTAGCCGATTGATTGACGAATCGATTCGAGTCTCTCGTTTAAAATTCTATATCTAAATTGGCCTTCGGTTTCAAAGAGAGGCATCGGCCCACGGATATGGCGACTGTGCAGTGGCGTTGCCATCGAAGGGGGCCGCTCTTCGAATTGACGCATTGGGCAACGCCGCTGGTCACATCACATGACAGTTTTTGGTTCTTTCTGTTTCAGCTTATCTCTCTCGCAGTATCAATTGGCAGCGCCAAACCTATTCAACAAAATCCGCGTGAAGCATTTGCATTTCTTGTATTTCAAATATGGTTGCCTTTATTTGAGAGCAGTGGAGGGGAATAGTCTGATCGTGCGTTGTGCACACAAAACAAGGGGCATAGTGAAGCAGTGCTGCCATTGCACTGCTTGGCTCACAACATGCCTTTGCAGCTGGGTGGCAACACCGAATTTCTGCAGCCCTGTCGAAGCTTGCCAAAATTGCGGCGCTTTGTTCAAATCAATTCGAATGAAGAACGAATCGAATTGAATATGAAAAAGAAATAACAAAAGCATTTATAACAAATATATAATATAAAACAATGATAACAATTACAAATATTCAATAGAAAATTTGACGATGATATATATATATATATATATATGAGTGTGACTTAGGTATCTAAATAAGTATCGCTGGTATTTTTGCGATAAGCCTCTTTTTTGGCCAAGACGGGACCCACGATGCGTTTTATGTTCTGCTCGTAAATGAGATTTCTCTCCCTCTCGTATTTGCCAGCCTCTATCTCAGCATCCTTGGTGAACAGTGACAGATTGACGTACTCGTAATTGCGGGCCAGACACAGAAAGATCACCAGATTGACCAGCATTATGGCCGCAAAGAGTGCAAATTCCGCCGACTGCGTGCGTACGAACTTCACTTCGGCGATGATCACCACGAGCATGTTGCCAATGGCCACCGACAGCAGCCAGCAGGCCTGCAGCACCGATTTCATGTTCTCCGGCGCCTCGGTGAACGAGAATTCCAATCCCGTTACGGAGAACATTATCTCTGCAGCAGTCATCACAACTATCTGCGGCAGTTGCCACAACACCGACACTGATGTCGGCGGCACAACTTCCACCATATTGTATAGCTACAGGGAGACAGAGAGAGAAAAAGAGAGAGAGAGAAAGAGAGATGAGGGAGATGATATAAGTAAGCAGAGAATTGTGTAAGCAAAATATACAACAAAAGATGGCACGTTGCAGTCGGGCGTATCCGACTGCTAGATACTCTACATCTACTAACAAATGCCGGGTAGTGTAGCCAAGAAATACAGAAATTGCGGAAGGTATAGCCATTTTTGATTTGTGTGGGCGGGCGTCTGGGGGTGGCGAATGTGGGCGTGGTGAATGCCGACCTTTGACGGACATCGGCAACAACATACCAACCAAAATTTGGTGACTGTAGCCTTAAAATCGTGGAAGATATATGGCTTTATCGACTTGCAGTTATCGACTTTTATCGATTTCATTGCAACCCAGACTGACGCAGGCAAACACCAATAAACGTTTCCGGTCTCTATCTCTAAGGGTGTCGAAAAAAGTGGCGTTCATACGGAATACCTTCGGAATTTTCCTTTCCAGGATCAGGAGGATATATTCTTAAATCTAGTTAGTGTTTTTTCTCAGTGTATTGTATATTTGACTCACGTAACCATCGCTGGCATTTCCCTGCACCAGCAAGCTGTAGAGACCGCCGTTCTTGGTCTCAAAGCTGGCCGCTCGTTTCCCATTAATGTCCAACTGGCCGCAGCCGAACGACAATTCGTGCAGTGCCGAGAGATTGGTGGTGTCCAGTTGAATGGCGCTCGGAGTGGAGCGGTCGAGGAGTGTCCTGAGCATAATGGGACCCTCGTCGTCTGGGATGTTGACGAGGGTGCGCAGCAGCGGTGCTCGATTCATTCGCTGCCCACTGTTCACCCCATCGCGGAACTTGTGCAGCGAATTCTTGGCCAGGAAATAGCTGACGGAGCTGCCCGGCTCCAATCGAATTTGAGCCTCGATGATGGGGCATTGACTGCTCGGCGACTGCAGCTGCGGCTGTGCCTTGAAAGCGTACTCAGTGCGCTGGGGTACAATCATGGCCAGATTGGACCACATGTCCAGCGGCTCGATGCTCGAGTGAAGATCGCTGCAGCTGAAGTCATAGCGACAGGGCATCCCATTATAGAGACGCAGATGGGCCATGCGTGGCGAGGATGGTGCAGCTGACGGCTCCACTTGCTCCAAGCGCAGCTCAACGGCCGCCGACAATAAGAAACCGATGGCGGCGAGCAGCAGTCCAATGGCGAGCTTCTGAAGCGGTCGCCTTATGCCCCACCGAGCGAGTGTCGGATAGATCGTTTTGTCGAAAAGTGGTATGAAAATGAGTATGAGCAGCGGATTGATCACCTGCATCTGGTCGGGCTTGATGCGGACGCTGAGCAGTCTGCCGTCCATGTGCGTTGCCTGGAAAGTCCAGCGCGAACCCTGCTGATCGGAGAGCGCCCAGAAGAGCGGGAAGGACATATAGAGTAGAAGGATTCTCGTGAGGCACTTGGTCTCATGGACTATTTGCTTGCCAACCACTGGCTCCGCATAGTCGAGGAAATGCTCATGCGGTTCATTCGCGCTATTTTCACACCAGCCCTTGATCGCATTCGTGATGCACTGCGACACGCCAAAGATCATGTGACCTGAGGGCGGATTGCGAGTGTAGCGACTCCGACCGGCGACAAAGATGACCATCGAGACGATCATCAGCAGGGCGGGCACACCGAAGGCCAACGAATAGCAGTCATCGTCACCGAAACAATGGACATCCGCACGCAAGATCGGCGTCACCATCGTCGAGATCGTTGAGCCCGCATTGATGGCAAAGTAGAACAGCGAAAAGAACTGGAGCAAGTCCAAGGCCTGTGCCGGCAACTTAAACTGATCGCCGCCAAAGGCCGACACGCACGGCTTAATGCCGCCCGTACCGAGTGCAATCAGGAGCAGACCCACAGCAGTCACCCCCCTTGAGAAGCATATCACAATCATCAATCATCCAATCTCCCAACCAAAACACTTACTTAACGGGCATGCCCAGAATTGGAATGGCGCCGATGGCCACGAGCATGGCCCCCAAGCAGTAGATAATGGACAGATAGAGTATCGTCTTGTACTTGCCCAGGCAGCCATCGGCAATGAGTGCGCCGACCAGCGGGAATATGTACACCACCATCGTGAATATATGGAAGAGTACCGTTGCCCTCTCCTCGTTGTAGCCCAGCTTGTGAGTCAGATAAAGTCCCAGAATCGCTGGCAGATTAGAGATGTGACAGACTACCGACTACAGACTACGGATTACGGATTTCGGATTACTTACCACGCATGCCGTAATAGTTGAAACGCTCGCAGAACTCATTGCTGATGATGAAGACCACCGATTTGGGATACTCGGGCCCCTAGATGAAGAGGTCAAAGAGGCAGTAGATCCGATTAGAGCCCTCAACTCAACCTCAAAATATATAATGACTACACTCAGAAAAAACAATCGATCGAAACAATTTTGTTAATTCGCTATACTTTTCGGGTGAAAGACCAAAATGAGGTTTCTAGAAATTTGTTTTCCTATAATTACAAATTTTTTCCAAAAACTAGAAAGATCTTCAGGGCGATAATTTTCGTGAGTGTGGATATAGTTTCCGATTTACCCAAGTGTAGACAGCATGACTTGTAATTATTGCAACTATTTTACTGTAGCTATTATTATGAAAATGCGACAAATGAAATGTGAAAAAAAGAACCGCATCATTAACTGACTGGCACATGCTGTACCTAATATGTATTTTTGTATCTTTATAATGCAAATTAGGCTGACTTTTATGTTTATATGACAAGCCTCTCTCAAGCGTCATCGACCCAGTACCAAAGCATTTTAGCCATGTTATTATGTCTTACGAAATATGCAAAAACTTAAAAGGGAAATAATTATGACTGTTGAGTGCGCATTCTCTCTCTCTCTCTCTCTATCTCTCTCTCTCTCTCTCTCATTCTAACTCTATCTCTCTCTTGTTCAGTCTCTCTTTATTAGGTATTTAAACAAAATATATACGAATAATGACATAAGATAAAATCAAACAATGATTTAAGTTTTACTCTCTCCTTCTGCGCATCGCTTTGTCATTCGCTCGTTAAACTTATTTCGTATTTCTAGCTATGCCTAATTAGATGAGTGCTTTCTAGCATGCATATGCACATACATATATACGTCATCAAATCCACGTACATACATACATCAGTAGCAGAAATCGTAGAGAGTATCTGCCAGTCGTCGTTTAATTTATGCATTTTCATCATACTAGTTGTTAGTACGCCTGACCTACTCATTACTGTTAGCTATACATATACACACATACATATATACATACATACATGCATACATATATATATATATATATATATATATAATGTATATGGATTGTCGATTTCATTTTCGTTGTTTTCGCTTTCAGTTTGTGTTTCTGTTTTCGTTTTGTTTTGATTTGTTTTGGTTTGGTTGGGTTGGGTTTGAGACTGCGACTGCGACTGCGACTGCGACTACAACTACGACTACGACTGAGTCTACTACAAAATAGCAGCCAAGGTAAACGGTAAGCGATAAACAAGTTTGGAGCCAGCAGCTGTTCGCCAAATAATAATCAAATTGCAAATTCTGCACGCACAACGAGTAAAGCCAAAGTCAAGTCCACCGCACCCATTCATAATTGTGTTGAGCGATAATTACAGACAATGACTGTGCAGTGCACTTCCATTCCACCTGACGTGGAATGATTTAACTGTGGGACCCCAGAGCAGCTGAGAGGCGCATCCAGCGATCGCTGTTATTGTTGCCGCTGCTGGCTAATATTTGGCTAGACAGTTGAGATACAATAATCGCCAGACAACAAGCAAACAATGTACAACAATGTATGTTAGCAGGTAGGTAAGACTAGCAGGTATCTAGTATTACATATCAACTACTACACAGCAAAAAAAAAAAAAGATAAAGTTCAATTTCAATTTTACTGAGAGCAGCCGAGCATATTATTATAATATGTATGTATATTATTTTTAATTTGTTTTCACTTTTCAAGTAGAAAATACTTATTTTAAAAGCTAGTAGAAATCTTAGCTCTAAAATCAAGTTAAAGAGACTTAATTTATCCCGTTTGTGTTCTGTTTATTCTGTGTATACCATAAATATATACATACATACATACATACATATACATAATGTAGGTGCACGGATTGAACGAGTCCGGTTAGCTGAGATACCTCGCGTTGCGTAGGTTGTTCAACTTGTCGCCAAGTCTGTGGAAGTCGGAAAGTAGGTCATCAGTGTGGGGGAGCAGAGAAGGGATGGGATGGAACTATTGTTTTGATTCTAGATTGTAGATTGTAGATTCTCGATTTCATTTTCACTGATTTCACTGATTAATTCAATCAATTTGCGGGCAATAAAAGGACTGCCACAACTGGCTGACTGACGCACATCAAGTTCAGCATTTGCAAGACCAGAACTAGGTCAGGGCAAACATCGTCGCATCCTATCAAGCATATATGCATGTATACACACACATATATATATCTGTATCTATATATACATATCAGTGTATGTGTATTCTGTATTCCTGATCTATACCAAGAGCTGAGACAATTAAGATCTACATACGCATATGTATTTTCATATTTGTAGATCAGGTCTTATATATGTATGTATTTTCAGCTCTTAACTTTAAATGGCAATAATCAGTAGGTTGTACAGTGCTTGCAACATCATTAAATAGATAATAGAGTATTGCGCAGTCGCGGTGGATCGTAATAACTGTCAAATTGCGGCATGTTTTAAATCTGCAACTGCAAAAGGTAAAACATTCTTACTCTTGTGCAAAGCCATCGACGGACCCAAGTGCAATTGCAGCACACATTCATCACGCAAACATACATACATATGTACATCAACACACACACACAAGCATAAATATATACATAAATATGTACAAATCGACAGCCAAAAGTAGTTAGTGGTTTTGTCCATACGATCTTTGCCAATCGATCTCTGTCCGTTATCTTGATTGTATATGTATATGCATGTGTATGCGTAAGTGTGTGTATGTAATTAGGCTTGAGAAATGCTGCACGTGTATGGCTTAATGCGCGTGCATTACATACATACATACATACACATGTTTGTATGTATGTGTAAATACATACTTTCTCAATATGACAACTGAATGTGACAATAAGCAGCGGACGCAGACGCAGACGCTGACGCCGATGCTGATTTCTTTTCATTTCAAGTTTAGGGCTCAGCGACTATAAATGGACACACACACAGACGTACATATGTACATACATGTATACACATACATACATGTATATGTATGCAAGTATGGTGTGATTGCCATAATTGGCCGTCAAATCGTTAAACATAACGGTACATTAAGCTCACCTTTTACTCTTGCATTTCATTTTTATTTGGTGGTTCCTTTGATTTACAGCTGGTACTCGGCAGCGAAGTCAAGCGACTGTTTTGAACAATCAAATTGAATGCACTTAATAACAAACATGAACATGATGAAGAAAACACCCACAAAACACTCAAAACGCAAAAACACCCAAAACAAATAATGGGCTCAAGTTCAATCAACAGATTGGAATTTAAGCAACTGCCGAAAAATGCACGCGCATTTGTTAAAGCGTGACAGACAGGTAAAGTGTATGTGTGTGTGTGTGGGAGGGGGTCACGTTTACGGCATAAAACGTAAAGAACGAAAACGATACTTGCAAAAAGTGCGACAAATTCACAAATATTCCGCGTCTCTTGTGCAATTCAATAAAGAACAAAAAATTGCAACAAGAATAAGCATCAAATAGAAATTGACAATAAAACGGCATGCCAAAGCGTACGGGTAAGGGGGGAAGTGCTGAAGCAATGCCAGCAGCGACGCTGCATCACTTAACTGAGATTGTAATTTACTCTCTTTTCCCATGCCTAGTCGCAATCCCACTCGCGCTCTCTCTCTCTCTCTCTCTCTCTCTCTCTCTCTCTCTCTCTCTCTCTCTCTCTCTCTATCTCCAGACTGCGAGCAACATTGCGACTGCACGACGTAAACGTCAGTTTTACAATTGTAACGGTCAAGTTCAATGCTGATAAAAGTGACGCTTGCATTTGTTGTGTTTGTATTCTTGCTGCTCTTTCCCCCCTCTCATTCTATAGTATGAGGGTGTATGCTGGGCTCTAACGGCTATTTAAGGCGGTACATGTGCATAAGTAAATATCAAAAAAAAAAAAAAAACGTATATGCATGTATATATGTATATATGTATGTATGTTTGTATGTTTGTGTATATTCTGGTATCTCTTACCACCAAAAAGTCCCAGGACTCTCGGCGCCAATCCATTATTTCGGAGGATTCGGTACTCTTCTCCGACTCATTGGTATCGAATTCGGATTCATAGTAACGATTGCGGGCAGTCGCAATTCCATCGTCAAATCTCAGGCCCAACGGATGCAGCTCAACGCCACCGTCCTCGCGCCCCTGCACCACTATCAAACGGAGAAGGAGGAGTCTTAGTCTGTGGACTCGATGCCGGATGGTAGATGGATGGATTATGACTTACGCTGAGAGCTCTCGGATGATTCGCTCGAAGATTTGTTCAGTTTCATAAACATTGCAAATGTCTTTGGAATTTAACAAACATAATCAGATCTTGGCAACAGGCTCATGGCTGCCCACATTCACACATATGTATTTGGGTAATTGTGGGTGGGTGGAGGGGGATAAGCCTCACGCTGCTTTATTTATGGCTAGAATAGACTATCGTCAAGCTAATCTAACCACAAGTACATTACTTACACAACGATGTCGATCTAATCGGACGAAACACGTCAGCTGACCAAAGAGGTTCCGCAATCAGACCTTCCAGTTAACCGACCATAAAAGCAAATGGCTATCGTCATCATTGGGTGAATTATTCATTATCCGACTTGCGACTAGTTCATTATTGTAAATTAAAATGTATTCCACTTAAGATTGAGTCATCTTTGTTGCAGCTTTATTCGATTGTGCAACAACAACAAAGACGTTCATTTGTCGTTCGCTCAGTCAGGATTATAATTGCTATGAGTAGTGAGTGAGTGTTTCCTTCTATACTTGACCACATTTCTATTAACTGTCCTCAACATTGTCAGCATTGTTGGCAAATGTCTGGAGTGAGTTCCGCTGATAATGGGATCTTTTGCTGCAATCCACGCAATCCAAAGACCGCAGATATCGTTATCAACATACTCCATACTATAACCGTTGCACTTTCGTTGCGGGTATTTCTAAAGATATGGGGACATGCGCTGGATTGTAATAGCTCCAATGAAGTGTTACTTAATCCATTCCTATATGTGTCCACATACCGTTTCCAATTCTTACAAAAACACGCTCCATAACACCCGGAGAAGATGAAGATGAATGCAATCTAATCTTTGCAGTGTTTTTGGCACCGCAAGGTGACAATCGCCAAAGCAAGAGCAGCTACAACAGCAAAAGGCAATAAAAGAGTCATTATAATGCAATAGTCGTATATGTACATACATATATACATAATAAACGATATATATATATATATATATATGTGCTGTGGATGTGCTAATCTTTGTGCTCATAATGATGGTGGTAATCGTAAATACATGTGTATTATATCGCATCAGACTATCAGTTATCAGTTATCAGCTATCAGCTATCAGCTATCGGTTATCGCTGGAACGTTTACGGCCCACTAGATTCGATCATTGACTTTCCCTAGAACTTGGGCCTACTTATGAACTGATTGACATCTTCTTCGGAAGCGTAGATATATATGTATATATTTGATATATATCATTTGTGTGGTGTGCATGTTGCGCATTGCAGCTGGCAAATTATCTAACTGGCTCAGATAAGAAATCAATTGGAACGAAAATATTTAATTAGAGACGCAGCTGACACGACAAGGGCTGGCTGCTGTTTGCCAGATTGCACAGATAACAAGCTCCGGCAGGCCCTGTTTACTGGTGCACCCTGGACTACACTACCTACTACAGCCAATTGGCCAGTCAATAATACAGATGCCGATATTTGTACATATACATGTATAGGTATATATATGCCAGGCCATATATTATTGCATAAAGTGCGAAGGACGCGTGTTCGTAAATACTTCAACTGCGATAAGCTGATAAGCTTTATTATGCCCTGAACTCATTCAATAGAAAAAGAAGGGTATCATGTAGTTGTGTTCAAATGTGTAGTAAACTCGATACGATATATCTCCGACTTAATTGATGTAAACTTTTTTTTGCTTAGCACATAGAAATCCTACCCTCGATTACTTGTTTTTCGATATCTTGTAAATTGCCTGCGCAGCATACTTATCAGTGTGAAGCAGCGAAGAGAGCGTTCGTTCTGATTATTTTGAGTCAGAGAGAGCCTTTTATTACCGTTACCCAGCCTCGTAGACTGTGCCATGCGAAGAAAAGATTGCATATTCTCGCTCGTTTGCATATTCCCTTTTGTTCGATCATTTGCGAACAATCACATCACGAGCCCGAAGCCGATTCGAACTTGATCGAACAAATCCGAAGACTGGTTATCGATCATGATCGACGCAGCTCTCTGATCCTTATGCCACACAGTCAAACAGACAACGTTTTTCTTAACCATCCATTTCGCATGCTACTTTTAATTGAACGGTAAACGCTGCTTACAGGGTAACTGCCAGTCGTGCTAACCGCACGGGGCTAATCTGAACACCCTCGCGCTGTGTTGGCCATCGAGTGGCTGTTGCGCCTGATCGCTCGACCCGCGATTAGAGTCGAGCTAATAGAATGGACACAATTCGTCTACAAGCTGCTGCGACGCGTTCACACGGCACGCGCGCAGTCGCAGCGGAGAGCCAATAACATAGCCAATAGGCAATAACAGTTAATAAGCGTCGTCATCATCCCCTTCGTGACTGTTGTTGTTGTTGTCGTTGTCGAAGCCGATGCCGTCGCCGTTGCCGTCGTCGTTGGCGTCGTTGTTCGGCTCACTACTGACGGCGGCTTCTTAGTTGACTTACACGCATCGGACATCAGTCAGTTGATTGCCGTTGGCAGAATTGGACGCGCATCGGTTTAACGTTCATCCATTCCGGTTGTTTACAACTGCAACAAAATCCCCTACCGCTTTTATCTGTGTGTGTGTGCGCGCTTTTTTTTATGTTGTTAAATGTTTTAATGTGAGTTTCTTGACTCAATTGAATATTGTAAATAACGATGTTCATATTTTTCACATTAAGTCAACTCAAGTCAAGTCAGCTGCCATTTTGTGTATTTTTTGTATTTTTTTAAAATATTATTCTTATTTTTGTTTTTGTTTTTTGAGTGCTTTGCACTTGACTTGGCGTGGCTTGACGTGCTAACTACAACAATAAAATAAATTATTCCAAGTCGGTGAATTTTACATTTTTGCAAACAATTTTAAATGAACTCAAAAATAAATGTTATCGTTTTTGTTCTCCTTTTTTTTTCAACGTATAATTGAATTTTTATTTTTAAAGTGCTTATTCCAACTGACTGGAAATGAATATAATACGATAGTGTTCTGATTTCTCTTTCTTCTCTTCGATTTCAAGTGTCGCACAACGGATGTGAAGTGATTACAACCCATTAGCCAACAAAAATGACGGACAATGAAAACGGTACTTATTCACATTAAACCATTTTATGTATAAGATAAGAGCCACTTCAGCGCATCATAAGCAAAAAGGGTTCCCCTATAAAAAAAAACGCGAAACTAATTGTTGAGCAATTAAATTATTCCCCCAAAAGGCAATATGCCAAAGCGATAATTTGATGCTGAGCAACACTCAAACTACAATTTACCGTAATCGCAGTATTGCAAAGTTGTCAAACATACACATTATAGATATATGTGCATATAACTCAAAGGGCGAGATATCATTTTTTTTGATTTGTTGACAGCCAAATACACTCTGTACGAAAGTCAATGAGTTAAGATTAGAGAAACGATGTTTTTTAATCATCACGAACTAACAATTGGCGATTAGGTATTGATATATATACATATGTGTGCACATTCCAAGAACTCTTTAAGCGTGTACTAGTGCACTAAATCTTTATTCAAGCTAATCTTATCAGGGCGATAAGGGTGCTCAAGTGTTTTGGTTGTCGCTGGCCTGGTTTAGGCCTGGTTCGAATGGCATTGCCAAACTTGGTTAATACGCAGATCGCATGCCAACTATTGCCAACTGTGAAGCGGTTGAAAATGAGCCAATGACAAACTAAACGCATTTGCATATTTGTATTATTTATTTATTTATTGTCCGCAATTTGTAAAAAAAAAAAACAAGATAAAATATAAATGTAAAATAAAAATTAAAAGCGAGTTTTTAAATTAAAATATAATAAAACCAGGGGTATAAAAATCAAAATGTAAAAAAACATTCAATCAGACCAAAAATTGTTAAGCGTTGTTTACGTAGTAATAAGGAAAGTACAACTTATAAATCACATATATTTAATAGTTAAATTTATTTCTCCCCAGCACTCAAAACGAATTTAATTTGCTGCATGACTAATTGCAATCTAAGCTGAATCATTGCCGAGAGCTGACAGATGAGTGCTGAGGTCGGAGAGCTGGGGGCAGATAGTGACTGAGTGGTGGGAGCTGAGAGCTGAGAGCTGCATTCAGCTATTATATGTTGTGGAAGCTACCTGTTGCCCAGTTGCCATAGGTAGCTCTAGCTACCTGTTAGTATTCGTGGCCTTGTGGTCGGTGGGGGGGAGCGATGAGTCGCTGGAGTCGATAATTGAATTTTGAGAACTTTGCCAAGCAACCGACAAACCATGTTGCATAGTGTACAACCACTAATTGCACAGCAAGAACAGCAACAGCAGCAGCAGCAACAACAGCAGCAGCAGCAGCAGCAGCAACACTCTTTGCCAATAACTTTTTTGGACCCCTTTAATTAACGGCAAGCAGGCAATCACAGTGGCATGTACATGAGTATCTGATAGATACCAGTGCGTGTATCTACAGCAAATAACAACTTTAAAATTGTGTCAAATTCATTCAACTTTATGGAAAATTTGCCATTGCTGTTGCTATTGCTGTTACCGATGCTGTTGCTGTTTCTGTTGAGTGGTAAAATATGTCCGGCTATAAAATGCATAAGGGAGCCGTTCTTGTTGTCTTATCGTAAACCATAAATATCGCAGAAAGCACAAAAAGCGCCGGTTTAATCGCTTATAAATCAGTTAGCGCTGTTCAACAACGGCCAACTGCCATTTCTATAGTCAATAGATCGGTGATAACCACCACCATCATCACACTGATTAGCCAAATAACAAATTTGCAATGGGTATTCCCATTAGAGTCAAACGATTTACGACCCAGACTCGATCATGTTGCTAATCGCATTGAAATACCGATATCAATCCCCATAAAGGAATATAAAAGAATCGTGCGTATTACATATATGTATAAATATATATATATATATATATATTAGTCGCCTGAAAATAAAAATCGCTCTGACAATTTTTAGACAAAATCCTTTCGAATATTATGAAACAAGTCAAGTTTTCTTCAATCTAAATTATATTTTGTATAAGTGAAATTTTAAAATACAAATTTATATATTAATAATATAAGCAAAAAAGTTTTTTTTTGTTAATTTTAGAGCTGCTTTAACACATTTGAAAAAGTATCTTGAAATTTAAACACTGGATTTTAGAAAAATACTATCTGAATAATAAGTTACCGCCAAAAGTACATAAGAATTTCTAAATTTCCATTGGATTTTTTTCTGAGTGTACACTTAAATAAGTGCAACAAGCTGAACATTTTGTTGTTATACCCTGAACCAATTAAATATAGTTTATAATTAAGTATGCAACAGACATAAAGTATGCATATTATATATATATGTATAAATATATTCTAGATCAGGTGTCGAGCTAGCAATGTCTATCAGTCTGTCTGAGACTAAAAGAGCCAGAGTTATGCGTCCATGGAGAGACCGAATCAAAACTTTCCTATATATTTATCGATGTCTTTCAGTTACCCGTCTAACTAGTTAGAGTGCCCTAGTTGAGAGAGCTCGACTAGGAGATACCCTGAATAATATTTAGTAGACTTGCTGAGAGTAGTTTTTGCAATATGATATATTGTACCAACTGTTGGCTATATTATTACAATTGTCTCATTTTTGTTACTATCGGAAATCGATTTGAATTGGTTGTGGTATACGGGAATATATATTCCAAAGATGTCTCTGGCTGATATAGTTTTTAAGATCATCCCGCCTATGCAGGTAGACTGACGGAGATAGCTAAATCGACTCGACTGCTTATGTTTATCAAGAATATATATACTTAATGGGATCGGACATGTTTCCTTTAGTCTGCTACACAAGGTAATTGGGCAACTCCGTTTTACCTATTTGAAATGGATTCAGGGTATACGACTAAAATTGAACTGCTAAACTGGCATTGACATACATCAGTTTAGGGCACTTGATCGATGAATGAATGAATGAATGAATATGAATGAGTGCGAATATGTGTGGCGTTGATTGTGATTCGCATAGGGCCATAAAAGTAGTCGCTGTTTGATGTCCGTGTCGATAGGCATTCGACATTCGACATTCAACATTCAACATTTGCGCATGTTTCTGTTTCTATTTCTGTTTTTATTTTAATTTAAATTTTTAGGCAAAATTAGCTTGATAGCTGCAAATTGCCGTTACTGGCGACCGACTTCAAAAGGCTGCCGCAATGCGATACCTGACTACTACCAACAAATGTGATAAGACTGCCCGAGAATACCACAAATGTATACATATGTAGTGCGGAGGTGGTGGGGCAAGAAGAAAGGCCTCCCAATAAATTAGAAACAGGGAATTGAATGCATTCCCGAGTCTAGACTCGGCTCACTTTATAACTGCGATATGGCATTTTTATTGACTACTATTTTGTGAAGCTCTGTTATGCAACGAAAAGTAAAATGTCTAATTATAATCAGTAATCAGTATTGAGGCCACTTCCTGCACCCAAAACAAAAGGAATGCGCCAACGTTTCCTCACCTTATTAATCAGAAAGTGAATTTGTTAAATTGAGTGGCTATCTAAAAGAGGATTTTTCCTGAATTGCCTTTATTCTTATTATTATTCGAATATAAATAAAATAGAAAATATTTCTAAAAAATACAATAAAAGAATCTTTTTGGGATGGTCCACTTAGCGCAAGGCTTTCTAATATTGGAAAAATGTTTTCTCATAATTAGAATGTATTTCTAAAAATCAGAGAGATTTTCTAAATACAAATTGCAGGCGATATTTTTTCAAGTGTATGCATTAAATGCTAACTGCTATGCAACTCGACGAGCGGCAGGGCTACATTTGCATGGGCGTAGACATGATGATGCCCATATGTGTGTCATGTTGTCATTATGGATGCATTGCAGACATGTCCATTTATATCTAGATATCTTATCTAGTTATGGTACACACAGCAGCACATTTATGGAGCTTGGATCACGTCTAATGCTTCAAGATTTATGAATCGCATTCCAATTCGGTAGCGATCTGTTTAGAGATATGATGAAATGGGGGATCAAGATCAGTGCCGAAATCAGTGTCGCAGTGACAATGACAACGCCGCACGAAAGCGTACCGCTTCTAGGTGCTAACACTCAAGTACATCATCCAAATGGATACCAACTAATCCCGCATAATTGCTGCTTCCTTGCAGATATAAAGCCTGCTGAGGCAGGCAGTGAGTCCGTGGAGGCAAAGTCAGCGCCGGTGGATACCACAGACGAGCTGGCCACTAATCAAACAACTCAAACAGATGAAGCAGCCAACGCGGAACAGTCGGCAGCAACAAATGGCACAGCTCTGATGGCAGCCACCAAACTGGCAGACGATCCAGAACCCAGTCGAGATTCCAAGCCCATGAAAAATGGCATGGATCTGGCGGATACGAAGAAGTTTGATAATGTTGCCGAAACGGAGGGCCAGCAAAAGGTAAATACAACAATACTCAACTCGACTTAACTCTCTCTCTCTCTCTAATCTGTGATCTCTGATCTCCAATCCTGGCCATCATCTGTAGAAACTGCCGTATCCCAAGTCGGTGTTCTTCATCATCAGCAATGAGTTCTGCGAGCGTTTCAACTATTACGGCATGCGCAGTAAGTAGAAGTTGAATCAGAATCAATATTCTTAATATCAATGCTAATCCCTGCATTCCATTAGCCGTCCTGGTGCTGTATCTGAGTCGCAAACTGGGCTACTCGGACGATACGGCAACGGTGGTGTTCCACATCTTCACGATGTTCGTCTACTTTCTGTGCGTCTTTGGTGCAATTATCTCGGACTCCTGGCTGGGCAAATTCAAGACGATTTTGTATTTATCGATTGTTTACATTTGCGGATCGGTCCTGCTGACACTGGGCGCAATTGGGCCACTTAACTTACCAATGGAAACGTTCACCATATTGGGCCTGGCGTTGATCGCACTCGGCTCCGGTGGCATAAAGCCGTGCGTATCGGCCTTTGGCGGTGATCAGTTCAAGGTGCCGGAGCAGCTCAAGCAGATCACCTCGTTCTTTTCCCTCTTCTATTTTGCGATCAATGCAGGCTCACTGATCTCGACGACGGTGACACCGATTCTCCGCGAAGATGTCCACTGTTTTGATGACATCAACTGTTATCCGCTCGCGTTCGGTGTGCCCGCCATATTGATGATTATCTCTGTGGTAGTCTTTGTACTTGGCCGGCCATTGTACAAGATTAAGCCACCGGCTGGCAATATGGTTGTGGAGGTGAGCGGGACCATCTGGACGGCAATAACGACCAAGTGCCGGGAGAAGAAGACCAATCCGCGCGAACACTGGCTCGACTATGCCGATCACAAATACGAACGCCAACGGATCGCCGATGTGAAGGTGCTGATGCGTGTCCTCTTCCTATATTTGCCGCTGCCCGTCTTCTGGGCGCTGTTCGATCAGCAGGGCTCCCGCTGGACGTTCCAGGCGACACGCATGGATGGCAATATGGGTTCATGGGACTTAAAACCGGATCAATTGCAAGTGCTCAATCCGTTGCTGATTCTCGCCTTTATACCTCTGTACGATTTGGCCTTCTATCCGGCACTGAGCCTCATCGGCATCCGTCGTCCACTGCAGAAGCTGACAATGGGTGGCATTTTGGCTGGCATTGCTTTCATCATTTCCGGCATTGTCGAACTCAACTTGGAGGTGAGTTGCAACCGGAGAGTGTCGCCCGCCCCCGATTGTCTTGTTTTGTGTTGTCTTTGCTTGTCTTGTCTCAACTCGTCCCTTTGTTGCACACAATGCACCGCTTTTTTACTGCAATATTATTTTTATTTGTTTTTCTTCTCTCTCTTCTTGCTCTCGTCCCTCTTTCTCTCCCTCTCTTCCGCACGCACTCGTCTATTTGCACGGTTAGAAAACCTACCCCGCCTTACCCTACGGCCAGAATGCCCAGTTGCGTGTCTTCAACTCGGACAACTGCGTCTACAACTTCGCCACCAACATCGACGGCCTGGCGAGCTTCAAAGTTGAGCCGTACAGCGCCTACACGAAGAAGGATGTCTATGTGCCCGGCAGCTTCGATTTGAAGTATTCGATCTCGACTACAGATCCTGCGTGCAAGTCGTATGCGGAGCAGACACATACGCTAACCGATAAGAAGGCGTGGTCGCTATTCCTCAACGGGCGCAATGATACCAACGCTGTCTTCTGGGAGACGGACTTTGTGAACAAGCCGTCCGAGGGTTATCCATTGGTCCGTAACATTGGCAATGTGCAGCAGTATCGCGAAATTGTGTGGAGCTCCAAAAGTGGGCGTTACGAGTTCAATGCCAACGAGACAAAGCTGCTAAAAGTGAGTTCCAGCGACTACGATGTGTCCATTGACAATTACTCCCTGGGCAAGGTCAGTGTGCGCACCGGCGGTGTCTATACCCTGCTCGTGAACGAGCTGCCCAACGGTGGATATGCGAAACTCGAACTGATCGAGGTGACCGAGCCCAACTCGATGAACATGTTGTGGCTGATACCGCAGTATGTGGTGATGACACTCGGCGAGGTGATGTTCTCGGTGACGGGTCTGGAGTTCTCCTACGCCCAGGCACCGGCCAGCATGAAGTCGGTGCTGCAGGCTTGCTGGCTTCTAACTGTTGCCTTTGGCAATGTGATTGTGGTCATCATTGCTGAGGCGGCTCTCTTCGAGTCGCAGGCCAGCGAGTTCTTCCTCTTTGCGGGCCTCATGTTCGTCGATATGCTGGTGTTCATGTTCATGGCCTACAACTACAAGCCAAATGATCCCAACAAGCCCGAAGAGATTGAGCCTTTGACCAATGGCGACGATAGCAATGCGGATCGCCAGATCGAACAGCTCGATAAGGGCATCGATAACAAGGGCAAGGAGATTGATGAGTAGACACACGATCCCCTTCCTCTCTCTCTCTCTTCCTCTCTCTCTCTCTCTCTATGTGTGTCTTCCGCCTCCTGCCAATGTTGTGTATTATATATTAAAAAAAAAAAACAAAACAAAAAAGGAAAGAAAGAAATCCCCACAATCCTCCCTACGATAATTCATACATGTACTTTGTATTCATTGTCAATTGTCCATTGTCCATTGTCCATTTACAATGTAAGTGTGCTCCTCTGCCCGGGTCAGCGAACGGGGAATCTTCGGATTCACGGATTGATGTCGGGTCGGACGTTGTTTAATATGCCAAGACATATGTTTTAACTAATCTAAATATTATTCAAATAAATGAAAATTATAATCGTATTTGCATTTGTTTTTGTCTTTCTCCCTATCTCTCTCTCTCTCTCTCTCTCTCTCTATCTCTCTATCTCTCTCTCTCGCTCTCTCGCTCTCTTTGTCGTTATCTTATCTAAATGTTATCTGCTTTCTGCATCTTGAGCAAAAAAAAAAACTACACTTGATATTAGCACAACTCTTATAAGTAGTTTTTAAAGCTTTCGGAATTCAAATAATCGCAACAGGTAACGTATCGTAATTGATTGACTGATTGATTGATGGATTGATTGGCTGACTGATAGATTGTTGAAACTGAGTTTAGATTGTAGATGTTTTCGCATGCTGTGAAGAAAAACAAAGATACTTTTTCAGTTACACAGACTGATTGCCTGATTAAATGATTTATTGATTGACTGACTGAAAGATTGTTGATCAATGTTCAGGAAGAAAAACTTAACTTAGCATTAAATGTTTGAGCAAAGGTTTGAAAAAGACCAGATTATGTTTAAAGGTTCACAGCTATATATCAGATTGATTGACAGACTAGATGATTGATTGATTGACTGATATCGATTTACAGGATGTAGCATGGTTTGCTAAGCCCCCAAAAGAACTATAAATGTATATCAGATTGATTGACTGACTAAATGATTGATTGATTGATTGACTGACTGATTGACAGAAAACTGATTTTAAATTTACATGCTTGAGCATGATTTAAAGAAAATCCCAGATATGCATATATGTGAGATTGATTGACTCTCTAAATGATTGACTGACTGACTGACTGAAAGATTGTCGATCAATGCACAGCGAGAAAAGTGAGTTTGTATCCGATTGATTGAATGGCAACTGAAATGATTGATTGATAAGATTGATGGCTAAGTAGGGTAACCACACAGGAACCTCTGCTTGCAGCGCACCTACCCCGTTGTGCCCAAGATGGGCAGCACCCAGGTGCGTGTATTTAGCGGCATGGTCGGTTGCGATTATCGGGTGAGCAGCAACTTGCCACCGCTGGGCAGGAATTTCACGCTGCGTGGCATCGACTCCTACTCGAGTGGCAATGTGGCCACCAAAGACGGCAGCTTCACGCTCGAGTACAGCATCCACAGCCTCACAGCGGGTAAGTAGCCGAGTGATGATTGATGAGTGATGATTGATGAGTGATTGATTCACTCCACTACACACTCCATCAGGATGTCAACAGTTTAATGGGGTCACCAAGCACAACCTAAGCGAGGCGAACGCGCATAGCCTGTTCCTGCGCTCGAGTGCCCGAGACATCTGGTACATCGATGAGCTGGAGAAGTCAAACAAATCGCTGGCCTTGGTCCGCAATCTGGCCAATCTGCCAGCAAGCAGTCGCATCGTGTGGCGCGAACTTCGAAAGGGCCATACAGTGCTGGAGGTGCCCGCTCGCAGTCAGGATCTGCACGAGCTGAGCACCGTCGAATACGAGGTATTCACCGGCGGCCAGCTCATCCATCAGCAGCGGCTGCGACCAGGTGGCGTCTATGCCCTAGTCATTGCCCAGAACAGCACACAGGGATTCGTTTCGCGGATCTTCGAGGTGACCGAGCCCAACTCGATGAGCATGTTGTGGCTGATGCCACAGTATGTGGTGATGACACTCGGCGAGGTGATGTTCTCGGTGACGGGTCTGGAGTTCTCCTACGCTCAGGCACCGCCAAGCATGAAATCCCTGCTGCAGGCTGGCTGGCTTTTAACCGTCGCCTTTGGCAATGTGATTGTGGTCATCATTGCGGAACTGAAGTTCTTCGAGTCGCAGGCCAGCGAGTTCTTCCTCTTTGCTAGCATAATGTTCGTCGACATGCTAGTCTTTATGTGGTTCGCCCACTTCTATACGAACTACGACGGGAACGTGATTCTCACCCAGAAAGCCCAGCAGCGAAAGATGCTTAAATATCAATAGATATCTGTATCCATATCTATAGCTATATCCACACATATATATCTGTGTCTATGTCTTTATCTATATCTGTATTGTTCTCATTTAATTACTCGCACATAAATTATGCTATTCAAGTTCAGTATTCAAAATTCGAAATGGTTTCAAATATGATTCGTTTAAATTTCAAATTCAAATTCAGCGCGCCTTGCATTTGAAATTTCAAATTCAGTGTGGCCATGTATGCCAACGCAGCAGAGCTGCTTGTTACCAGGGCTGGATGGCGTTGGCGTTGCCAGCAGTGCGCGCGCGTGTCGCGTTGCCAACTGGGCGAGCGCGCGTCGGGTCGCGTTGCCAGCTTGCACGCACGAGTTGGCAGCACTGCAGGTCATTTGACATATGGCATTTTTAGTGCTGAAAAAAAGCGAAAACGGAGAGGAAGAAGAAGAGCTAAAATCATATGACTTGTCGATCGATAGAGCAGAAAAATAAAGGTTGCATTTTCCGCTGAGCTGCGTTGCCAAAAGTTCCGTTTTAGCCAACAGACGAACAAAAAACACACACACAGAGGCCGCAACAAGTGCTAAAACTGTACAAAAAAGCACCAACCAGCAACTAGCAATCGTCTTTTTTTTTCTTCCTGTGTGCTGTGTGTGTTTCTCTTTTTTGTTGTTGTTGTGTGCGTGTTTTGGACTCATTGACCATAATAATGGATAGCTCTGGATTCATGTTCAACGTGGACAACGGCTACTTGGAGGGCCTCTGCCGTGGCTTCAAGTGCGGCATCCTCAAGCAGGCCGATTATCTCAATCTCGTCCAGTGCGAGACACTCGAAGGTGAGCAAGTCGCAGTCACAGTCAGAGTCACATGACAAGCAAAACATGACAAGCTGCTGCTATCAGTGCGTGTGTGTGTGTGTGTGTGTGTGTGCTGTGTGTGTGTATAAGCTTGCCTTGTGATTTATCAGTTTACGCCACATAATGAGGCAGACATTTATTTGATATATATGCATAGATTCCAGTAAAACATCATCCAACACACTCACACACCTGGCCACACAAATAGGTGTGAATTTAAAAAGAACAAATTTAAATATCATGTGCACAAAATACAATATATTTTATCTATTGGCGACATGCTTAATTCCTAATGAAAATCACAAGTGATAAATATTTACGCCTTTTTCTCACATTTCCATATTGAGCTGCAATTGCCAAAATAGTTGCGAGTTGCATAAAGTTTAGAATACTTTAATTTCCATATTGATTTTTGGCTGCACAAGATATGTTTTGATTATGTATATATATTTCATTGTATTAGAGGCTTGTTATTGCTTTACAAAAGTCAGTCGGAAAAATATAACATTGATTCCCGAAAACTTCATCAGCAAGTGTTAATCGATAATCCATAATCTGGTCTGGTGTTATTTGACTAAAAGTGATACTTTTAGGGAATATTGTAACCGCAAGAACAGTTCGATTAGTGAGTGAAAAATGAGCTAGTAGAATATATCCAGTAAAGGACTGGTAAGGATCACAATTGCAATTGCAAATCAACTTTAAGAGCAGTCTGCACACAACTATTTTACTGTTCAGATATAGACAATTTTTATATATATATATCATAATTTGTACGCTTTGCCCGCAGATCTGAAGCTGCATCTGCAGGGGACAGATTATGGCAGCTTCCTGGCGAACGAACCATCGCCGCTGTCCGTCTCCGTCATCGATGATAAGCTGCGCGAGAAGCTGGTGATTGAGTTCCAGCATATGCGGAATCATGCCGTGGAGCCGTTATCCAATTTTTTGGACTTCATCACGTATGGTTATATGATTGATAATATCATATTGCTGATAACGGGCACACTGCATCAGCGACCCATCTCGGAGCTGATACCCAAGTGCCATCCGCTGGGCAGTTTCGAGCAGATGGAGGCCATCCATGTCGCTTCGACGCCCGCCGAGCTCTACAACGCTGTCCTGGTGGACACACCGCTCGCCCCATTCTTTGTCGATTGCATTTCGGAGCAGGATCTCGATGAGATGAACATCGAGATCATTCGCAACACGCTGTACAAGGCCTATCTGGAGGCGTTCTACAACTTCTGCAAGAATATGGGCGGCTCCACAGCCGACGTTATGTGCGAAATCTTGGCTGTAAGTTAAACTCAATTTGTGGCTTGATGGTCATTTTAAAAATGCAATTTCTGTTTGGGTTAGTTTGAGGCTGATCGCCGTGCCATCATCATTACGATCAACTCGTTCGGCACGGAGCTGTCCAAGGATGATCGGGCCAAGCTGTATCCCAACTGCGGCAAGATGTATCCCGATGGATTGGCCGCCTTGGCCCGTGCCGATGATTACGAGCAGGTGAAGACCGTCGCCGAGTATTATGCGGAATATGCGGCACTGTTTGATGCATCCGGCAATAATCCGGGCGACAAGACGCTGGAGGATAAGTTCTTTGAACACGAGGTGCATTTGAATGTGTTCGCGTTCTTGCAACAGTTCCACTTTGGCGTTTTCTACGCATACCTCAAGCTGAAGGAGCAGGAGTGCCGCAACATTGTCTGGATCGCCGAGTGCGTTGCCCAGAAGCATCGCGCCAAGATCGACAACTATATTACCATATTCCAGCACTAATCACCGGTCACCGATCGATCAGTGATCACAGTTTCCACGTTTCCCCCCCGTTTCGCTTCTTCACACATATAAATAATTTTTAAATGCAATTTTCCTTTTTCGTGTCGCGTGTCGTTAACATAATTGTATTATTATTATTATTATTATAATTTTTTTTTTGTTTCCCTGTTATGCAATTGTTAAAGTGAGTGTGTATATTATATGATACTGCTACTACTGTAAATGTATTCTTCTTTCCGAGTATTATTCCAATACAATTATTGTTGCAACTGCTCCTGTTGCTGTTGTTGTTGTTGTTGTCGTCACAGTCACACGACACTATGACGCACCGCACGCGCAATCTTTTCATTTCTATTCAAATATTTTTTTTTTATGTGAAGTGCAATGCTACCCCAAAGGGGAGGCTAGATTCCCATTCCCATTCCGAGCTCGGTTTAACATCTACCATACATATAAATATATATATACAATAAAACAATTGTTAATTCTTTCGAACATACAGCTGCGCATTAAATATATCTATATATATATATAAATATATATATATATGTATGTATGTCTGTATATCAACTTATCATATTGTGAAAATAAACCAATCTGTTTTAGAATATCTAAGTTGTGCCATAGTCTTATATCCTAGTTTTATGCAAAGGTCTGGACTATCGTCAATTGGTCAATATTTTTACAGGGTATAATGTATCCAAATTGAAATGCAGTTTCCATCTTTGCTCGAAAAGACATTGCTTTTGAAAATCGGCTCAGTTTTGACAAAGTTATGGGTGTGGAAAGCTTTGATTCATGCCCCCAAGTCAAGAACAGTTCCAATGGCAGCTATCCAGCCAACTTCGATATATATATATCGAATCTGATCTTGAGTATCGCCAGATCCACGACTACAAAGCTACAGACCAAAAGCTCTACATAATTCAGTGATTTGGCTTTAGACTTTGCTCTTTTAACGTCTGGCTGATGTTGAAGGTTAGATCGGGCGACTATGCAGGATATTAAAGGGAATGGTCCTTAAACCACTTTAGAATCGGTTTGCTGCTAGTTATCCAAGTTTTATTTAATTTTTTTTTCCAACACATAAAAGAAGGAATTTTTTTAAATTCTGAATCGAAAACAGTGTAAAATTTTGACTTTTCGATTTGGATATATGAAAAATATATGAAAAAAAATATATATGTATATAATATATAAAGATGAATTCTTCACAGTAATCAGACTCTCAATCAAAGTTATTACAGCTTATTAGTATGTGCGTCACGTCTGAACACCAAGTGGATGATCAACTGCTTTGTTTCGAAGGGGCAGTCAACTGGTGTCGCCTCAAGGTTTCCAGGGTGCGTCTGGATGAGTCACAAGGAACTAGACAATGAATATGATTTCATGCATATGTAAATAAGAGAAAAAAAATCAAGCACAAGAAGAAGACGAATAATAATAATAAGAAGAAGCAGACGAACACTAGGAAGAGAGTTGGACTCATTTGCCGAGTGGCACGAATTACAGTTCGTTCGATCCAAAGTTAATTATGCGCAGCGAAGCCGAACGAACATGTCGATCTCGATCTCGTCGTAAGTTGTGATGCTGTTGTCTCCCGTTAAATTCAGAGGGCGACAAAATCACACGCACACGTATGCACACACACACGCATGCATATGCATATGTATGCATGCATGTACGTGTATAGGTGTACGTGCGCATAGTGCGCCGTCGTTAGGCCAAACAGGTGCCAACACGTTCGAATCAAATAGAAAGCCGCGCTCAGCTGTCTACAACTTCGTTGAAGTTCGTCTGCTCGTCGGTTCGTCTGTTCGGCTGCTCGGCCGTTCGTCGATCGAATTGCCAATAACTCGACTCGATGTCGTTTTCTTAGCGCAGTTGTGTTTCGCGTCTTCAAACGTTGAGATCACTCTTTAAGCTTCACCTGGCACTCTCAGTCAAACGTTTGCTTCCATTAATCGCGCGCCGATCCAAATTTATATATATAAATATTTTTTTTTTGGTTCGACTTTACCGTTATATTGCTGTGAACACATTGCTTTTTTTTTGTTGTATCTAAATCAAAGTGCTTGTTGTTGCTGCTGTTGTTGGTGCTAAGCCCGCAGGATAACCCACGTGTAAATAGGTAATTAAGAAGAAGACTTTGAAAGAGAAGGTGAACCAAATGAGACTTTTGGGGGGAAGAGGCACCTTTAAATTTTGTTTTCATTTGTTGTTGTTGTTGTTGAAATGCGAAATGCGGCCAACACTTAACTTGGCCAAAAGCAATGACGACGACGGCCAAAGCCAATGATGAGCAGGAAACCCAAAAGCAAAGCCAGCAAAGACCAATGCACGTAAAAGTCGCCGAGAAATTGTGTCAACCAGTTTGCGTCGCTGTCGCCGTTGACGTCGACGTTTGCGTTTGCGTCGCCAATGCTGGCAGCGCCCGTTTCTGGTTGGTTTTCTTCTTAACATTCGTTGGTACTGTTCTTCTTCTTCATATTCATCTTCACCTTCATCTTATTCTTGTTGTTGTTCTTTTTGTTGAATTTATTTGAATTTGGCACCCGTTTTACTTTCTACTTTAACATCTGTTTCTCAAATTGATCTACTCTCTTTTTTTCCTGCTTCTTCTTTCTTTTCTTTGGCTGGCAGCAATGTCCTTTCGCTCTCGCATGCAACTTATCCACATGCATTATTTTTGGTTTAGTACGTTAACAAAAGATGAGATTGCTACTTTTACTAGTTTCAAGTTTCTCACTACAAATATCGCCATTTTTTTGGCGCCAAGGAAAAACCTTATATTTGAAAAGCATATTAAAACAATACAAAAAGGAACAAAATTGTACATTTCTTTATTGCATTTTAGAAAGAGACATTTCCCTTTTTAATAATAAATACTTTCCTTAATAGAAAATATAAAAAGAAGCGTTTTTAATTTTACAACATTCAAAACTGTCTAGTTTTCGAAGCGATTTTCCAAAAACATCAGGGTAAACTTTTTTCTGAGTGTACTTTACGTATTCATGCATTTTTTGAAGATTCTGAAAGTTTTACTTTGTCCAACGCAAAATGATTTCGAATTACCGATGTTTATGGACTAATTTGGAAAGATTTTTGTAGAAAAATCAGAGAAAATTGAGAAGCACTTGAAAAACGCCAGTTGAACTGAATTTGATTTGGCCGTGGAATGCAATTCTGGAAAGAGGCCTACGATTACCACTGTACTTTCAGATGTAAAAACTACTTTAATATGAGCCATTTAACTTGATTGGCATTGAAAAGTTGACCACTTAGTTGGCCCGACTAACTTAAGCAGGCTAACAGCTAATGACTAATGACAAATGGCTGAATTAAGTACGTTCATTCATCAAACTGTGGCGAAAATTAAGAAATGCGAGGGGGGAATGGAAATGGAGGGAAATGAAGGCAAACACATACGCTGGTTTCGCTTGTCTGGCAGTCAACAGGGCGTTACTTGGCCAACTTAACCTTAATATTATGCGGCCTAGACTGACTTCTGACATCGTCATTTGTGGAATGTATTACGGAAGCCTCGCATCAATTACGTTTTCCCCAGTTGTGTGTTGTATTTTTTCTTTTCGGTCGAAGAAAGTGAGACGTGAATTATGCAAATTGCTCTTATGTACATGTGTGTGTGTGTGTGTGTGTGTCTGTGTGTGTGTGTGTTATATAAACCATTGAAGGATGTAAAAGTATGTCGGAGCTGCTTAGCATAATCGAAGCATTTGTGCCGTAATCAGCGACGTCGACTCATTTGATTGAAGCAGCTGGCAAAAAAAAAATAGAGAGAAACAAAAAAATGAAAAGAAATTTTTCGCGCAATCTTTCAAAGATGCGCAACGAAAAATATTTATACGGATGTAAAAAAAAATATAACAAAGAGCTCAACACTTTCGCTTAACGGCGCCGCAGATGCATAATTAACAGTTTTGTTTTTTGTTTTTTTTTTGTTGTTTTTTTTTGGTGTTTTTGATTTCGATTTCGATGATATCGAGTTGCCCAGTTGCCCAGTTTCCCAGTTCCCCAGCTCAACGCATGTCTGATATGATAATTTTGATAGAAGTGTTTGTTGTTGCTCACTTTCTATTTTCCTATGCTTTTAATAATTAATTAATGCTAATATCTTTTCACAACCGTTATAAATTATTGACAAAAATAGAAAATATGCGCCCAACAACAAAAAACACATTCGTCTTGTTATTGTTGTTGCTGTTGTTCTTGTTGTTGTTGTTGTTTATCCAAATGCGGCAAATGCAAATGAATCTCTGAATATGAATATGAATGTGAATACACTCGCATTCCCACTCACACTCACACTCAGACTCGAGTTGAGTTCAGTATCAGTGTGTGTGTGTGTGTGTGTGTGTAAGTGTGTGTGTGGAAGCTCGTTACGTATTGGAATGCCAGTGAAATGATGTCAAGAAGAAGACAAAGACGAAACTGTCGAACCAATTTTGGGGGCACAGCTGGAGCCAAATTTGCCAAAATAGTTTATATAGATAAAGTGCAGCCAGCAACACCAAGCACAATGGCAAAGAGTGCTCCAGTCGACAATGATTCACTGGCAGATACCCTGCATTCAAATATTTAACAAACAAGATGTGTGTGTGTGTGTGTGTGTGAAATTACGATTTACCCGCGTGTTACTCAACCGATCTTACAGCTGATTAATATTACGTCAGGCAATTAAACATGCTCTTTAAAATTGTCGCAATCGATAAGCGATTTTAATCGATATTACGAAGGAAGCAGTCGATGAAAGTAAATGTTCATGCTGATCAAGAATCAATAAATGTTTTTACTTTTGCACCACTTCATTATACCCAATTTACCCATTTTCAGTGCTCAAGTGGAGGGTAGACAAGCAAAAGCAGAAGAAATACCAATGCACCACCCACTCACCCACCGCCCACCACCCACTGACCATTTCAGAGTTAATTGTTAGGCTGCCCCTTGTGCCCCCCTGTTGCTGTTGTTGCTGCTGCCACATTTGGTCACATACTTTCTATCCACTCATAAGTTGACATGGCCAAAAAGGCAAACAATCAACAAAAACGACAATAATTGGGTTACCAATTACTGCTGTCTGCAACTCTTGTTGTTGTTGTAATTGTTATGGTTTTTGTTGTTGCCCAAATGAAAGGTCATTCCACATAATTGAGTTACCATAATTATTGTTAGCACAGCTCCGCCTTGACATGGCCAAAAGGAGGCGAACAACTACACAGAATACCATGAAAGTGTTTTTACCAAGAAGTAACAATATCTTTTGAAATTAATAGTACTTTACAAGTAGAGTAACAATTAAAATTTAATTCATTGATTAAAACAATTGCAGACATTAGAAGTCTACAACTATCAAAAAGTGTTTAATTGCAATTCCCCTTCGAAATGAACGTTTACATTTTGTCTAACCTTTCAGCTTTGACCCTTAACATATTCATGTTCAGTTTTGATATGAATAACTTTATTTGAGGACACAAGCGACAAAAATAAATATAAACTATTAAATCTGCTATATCTAAAATGCATGCACATTTAAATTTAATATGACATATAAATTTATAAAGAAATCAAATATATAAATATGCAACAATATTGAAAATCCTGACTTAATTGCTACTCTTTCAGTTTCAATTTCAGTCTGCAAAAAAATTAATTGATTTGCAATCCAAACGTAATAAAAAATCTGCACATTTGTGTAGAAAACACTGCAGAAAGTCCAAGGATATTCGGTGCCTTGAACGAACACAATTTGATTTGAATTTGATAAGATGCAAACTGATTATCTGGGTTCACTGGATCTCTCTCTCTCTCTCTCTCTCTCTACACAATAAATACATATTTATGAAGAACCGTTTTCCTTAACATTTTAATGAAATGAAATTTATACAATATTATTATGTTCTCATTGAATTCTGAAGGAGTATAATAACATTTTTGAAAGTGAAATTCATTGAAATTCATCATCATAATTACATTTTCACATTTGTATCTTGCTTGAGGCTGGGGAAGCCCACCCAAGGTCTCAAATTTGGAATATATTTTGTAGATTTTTCAACGGCTAATCACCGTTCATTCATTCATATTGAATTGATGCTTTCTCCCTCTGGCAATCGCCAAAGCCACTGAAAGCGAGATCAATGCTGAGGCCAAAAAGAAAAAGTACAAAATCGAAGTAAAAGAAGAAGCCGAAGAAGTAACCGAGAGGTTCATTACGACGCCTTTGGCACCCCCCGCAGGTCCACTCGAAGACCTGATGATCCATCCATCCATTGGACAGATTCAATGAGTCAATAGCTAAAATTTCACTTTGCCAGCGCACAAAGCGGGCGATAAACCAAATAGTTACACAAAAAAATCGCCTCCCGAAAAAAGAAAAAAAAAGAAAAAAAAATTCCATCTGCCCTGCGAGTGTGCTGCTTGAGGGGGGGCATTCTAACAGACCGTAGCCCAAATCAATAGTCAATTAAATAACTTTGGTCCCGGGGCCGGTTCCACTCAACTTGTTGCTGTTGCTGCTGTTTTTGTAGTTGGTCTTTTGAGATTTCACTCTCGCTTTTGGTCAGCTTTGTGCTTTGTTTCTGGCCTTTTGTCATTTGGGTTTCGTTGCGCTGTTTGCATACGCATTTTACACTCGGCATTTTTTATTTTTGTTTTTATTTTTCCCCCAAGCGTTTTCAAACTTTGATTTTCGCGGCCGCCAACCGTCAGATGGCGCTGCTGTTAATTTGTTTACGTTGAAATTCGTGCAACACTTTTTTTCTTTTGCTCATTTCGCACGGCTCGTTGACAAAAAAAGAAAGAAAGAAAGACAGAGAGAAAGAAAGAAACGGATAGCAAGTGGTAGAAATTATGTCAATATTTATTTAAATTCATTTCTTTCGTCAGCTCACGCGAAACTTACCAAAAAAAAAAACCAGCAATATAACATAAAAAAAGGCCGAAACCGAACGGTGAAATTAAATCGGGCGCCTCTTGAAAGCAATTTTTTTGTTGTGTCTTGTTGACTTTGGGAATACTTTGTCTCGACGACTCTGGGGCTGGGTGAAACCTGCGATTCGGATTAAGTATTAAATTGCGTGCTAAATGAACCAATGGCTACAAACACCCACACGCCCCTGCCCCCTCTTCGATTGTGTTTGTTTTTCAATACAAGACACTTTCGATGTAGCACATAAATACATAAATACATAAATACATACTTATGTATTACTATTTATTTATTGTTCCGATTTCTTTGCAGTTGAAGATGAGCAACAAGATCGGTTCGCTGCTGTTGCTGATGCTGGTCAGCGGTACGCTGCTAGCGACGGAGGGGAAGACGGTGCATCGGCGGACCGATAAGATCTCGGAGAATTTCAAGCAGCTCGATCTGCCGCCAGAGGAGATCGATCCCGATGTGGCACCGCCCGAGCCCCAGAAGCTGGATGGCAGCGATGTCAGCGCCGCTGTGGCCCCAATGGTCGACGCTGTTCTCGATGAGAGCGCCAATGAAATTGCCAGCATCGATGCAGCAGCAGCTGCTGCTTCAGCTCCAGCAGCATCAGCAGCAGCATCAGCGGCATCAGCTGCCGAAGCACCAGAGACTGCTGTGGTGGAGGCAGCATCGCCAGCGAAGCCAGCGTCGAAGCCAAAGCCGACAAAGCCACAGGCGGATGCGGACAAGAATCCAATTAGTCGCTTCTGCAAGTGCTCGGAATCGCATTGCGACTGTTGCCGCAAGTTTGGATTGCCGCTGCTGCCCAGCGGGCCGGGCTGTGCCAAGATCGCGTATCTGGGCAATGACGAGATGAGCGTCTCCCTGAAATTTGGCGACATCACTCTCGCCTCGCGTCGCATCTCCAGCAAGCGGGCGCGTCCCATCTGCGTGGGAATGCCCGGCGGCTATTCCAAGTTCTGCGGACGCGTCTACGGTCTGTCGCGGGCCAAGGAAAACTTCAAGGCGTGCCTTGCCTTCGAGCTGCGTTCCGAGGACGAAATCGAGGGACAACTGCCCGTCTCCTGCTTCAAGTTCGGTTCGGAGGGACTGCGTGTCGCCGACCCCGAGCCGCTGCCCACCAAGGTCAAGAAGCCGGCGGATGAGGATGACGACGATATCTTTGGTTTTGGCGGTAAGTTGCCAACGCACTCCCATTGTGCAACTCAACTGACTCTTGTGCAACGATTCTAGCTGGCGGCGACGATGACGATGATGAGGACGAGGATGACTATGATGATGGTGATGACGAAGCCGAACCCTCGGCAGAGGACGACGATGCCGAAGACTATGTCGATGACGATGACACCGCAGCGCCCGAGGATGCTGACTACGGCGCCTTCAGCCTGGGCGGTCTGCTCGACGAGCTCGACGACGACGATGATGAGAAGCCCGCCAAGAAACCAATTGCTGCTGCTGCTGATGCTGCTGCTGCTGCTGCTGCCACGCCCATTGCTGATCAGACGACTCGCGAGCACGTTGAGATAATGGATGCAGTTCAGAGCAAGGACGATTCTGGAACTGCTGCTGCTGATGTTGCGACCGTTGCTGACGAGGAGTCGCCTGTTCCAGCTGCGACTGCAGCGCCATCTGGTGTCGAGGGCACCACGGCCACCGCCACCAAGGTGAAGAAGTCGAAGAAGGCGAAAAAGAACAAGAAGAAGAAGAAGGCAGCCACAGAGGCGGCCGCCGAAACCGAGGGCGGCTTTGCCTACGAGTTGCTCAATGGCATCCTGGAGTTCTTCAACTAAGCCAACATATATCTCAGCAAGGCCAACACTGTAAATACTCTTTTGTATCGACGTTGAGCTGTGGCCAGGAGCAGAAACAGGAGCAGAAACAGGAGCAGAAACAGGAGCAGGAGCAGGAGCAAACGGTATCAGGAGCTAGTTAGTTAGTTAGTACTAGTATTGAACTAAGTACTTTATTGCTTGCGCTAATTTATTTATTTATTATTATTTATTCAATCTATTTGGCAACAAAAAAATACAAAAACTGAACGCTAATTTTTCACCATGCCCAAAATAAAAACAATTCCGTTTTGTAATACAAATATATTTAATTTATTAAAGTGAATGAATAACGAATAAAAGATGTATTCAAATTGTTTAATTGACGTATTCTAATGAAGTACGGAACCGTTTGACTTCAGTTCCTGATGGCAACTCTACTTTTATATTTAGAAATTGGTAGGGTATGAAGTATACATATACTCTTGTTCAGGATCTGTCGGATCTCAGAGACATCAAATTTGGAATATACGAGTATGTTATCGAATAGCCCGCACAGATCAAGTTTACTTTTCAGTTTATCGATAATTGTTTCCATTTGGCGAAAGTCGATACATATCGATTTCCTATAGCAATAACAGCCGCAGAGCCTGCCAATATATATACCATATTTTTGATCAACTGGACAAATTTCATCAACATAAGAAATATATATAAATTGATGTGCCTACCATAAGAATGAGAAATGAGAATATATTTAACAGGGTATATCGCAGTCGAGTAATCTTACTTGTTTAATAATATTAATAGGATCTAAAAATGCCAAACTGTACTAAAAGCTAAAGAGAGAAAGAGAGAGCTCAGCCAGCGCTCCCCAATCGTTGCCTCTCTGGGTGGCAAGAGTGGCAAGTGCAACAATATGCATTGCGCAGTCGACAAATTGAGGCCAAGTTAGAAGCAACGTTTTAAATTGCGTTTCTTTTCCATTTTATTAAAGATGGCTAACCTATAATAAATGTACAGTGAGGTTGGCCAGAGTGCCTCAAAAGTGTTCGTTCCACCTCTCTTCTCATAGGGTTCGAGCTGTGGATTTCACTCAGCCATTTCTGGCGAGCAATTTCATTTTTTGTTGAATTGATTTATACCGAATTCATAAGGCGATATCTATGTCGATGCCAGATTTATGTATTTATGTAATAACAATTGTCCGTGGACAGCAGGGCCTTGCTTGCCCAACTCCTAATACTACTCCATGCCCAATATATATATAAATATAGCCTAGCAGAACAAAGTCAAAAAGTAGTCTCTGTATATTTTTCAATTTTCATGGCGGATCAACCAGATCTATATATATACATTTTATATATATGGGGGAGGTCTGAAGCGGCTAATTGACTTCATGACAACATTATAATGCCCTGTGCAGGATTACATAAAAATTATATTCGTTGCTTTGCTGGCTTTGCCCCGATTTGTTGCACACACATTGACTAAGTGCCACAACACCATTTGTGAAAATATCACAACAAAAAAAAAAAACACTAAGCCCAGCCCGTTCCTCCTCCATGGCTGATGCTGATGCTGATGGCGTTGAAAGTGGTCCAACTTTTAATTACCAACTGGAATGTGGGCAAACGCAATAAATCACCGAGTGTCCTCTGGCTCCGCCACACAGGATGCTTGCGCCCTTAATGAGCTGCGAGTATATTTGCTTTTGCGGAAACTCCATTTAATAATCAAGTTCAATGTCCATTTTATCAAATTTAACTCAAATAAAGCATATATGAAGTTGTTTCGAATTATTTTTTAATACATTTATTCAAACTTTATTTTATACGCATTGAGTAAAATAGTTGTGTTTAAAATTTACATTCAATTTGATTGAATGAACAAAGATAATACCACCCACATTTAAAGAGTGCTTATATTAACAAATCCCCGGCGATTTTTACACCGATATCCATCCTAAAACATTGAACCTTTAATTTTGATTGTTCCAAACAATTCCATTAAGTAAAACATACTGCAATCCAAACTATTTTGCATTAGTCCCAAACACAAGCAAATCCTATATTCAACTTACAGAGCCAATCTCTAACCATATATAAATATACATATATATATATATTAATATATATGTATGTAGTTGTATATCGTAATAAAGAGCAAAAATGTGTGTTGGTTACCGTTATGTAATTCGTAATTCACATCAAAAGTTGTATTCCTACTGTGTATATATCTATTAGCTATATATATATATATAAGATACAAATATATACATATATTGTATCTTAATAAACATCGAATAGATTCATCAAAAATAACATAAAAAACAATTATTCTATTTCGAAAAAAAATTTCGATAAATTTGCAAAGCTAAACCATTTTCTGGGTTCTTTTGTTGGTACTTTTGATTCCATGTGTTAAGTGAAATAAATATTTTGTGCTTAATTTTGGTTAAATGCCCAATTTGAGTTTGTTGTCAAAAGAACAAACATCAAAATTAAATATTCCTTCTTTTTTTTTGTTAGCAATAAAAGCTTAAATTGTTTATCTCAAAGTATTCTTGTATTGTTGTAATATATGTTTATAAGATTTATTAGTTTTATTTATATCTATAAAGATTTACCTTGCAATTGCATATTCATTCAAATGTGTATGTATATGTATATGTATATGTATATGTATATGTATATGTATATGTATATGTATATGTATATGTATATGTATATGTATATGTATATGTATATGTATATGTATATGTATATGTATATGTATATGTATATGTATATGTATATGTATATGTATATGTATATGTATATGTATATGTATATGTATATGTATATGTATATGTATATGTATATGTATATGTATATGTATATGTATATGTATATGTATATGTATATGTATATGTATATGTATATGTATATGTATATGTATATGTATATGTATATGTATATGTATATGTATATTGTATATGTATATGTATATGTATATATGTATACTATATGTGTACTAACAGAAACCGGGAGAAAGGTGCATAAATCTTAAGTTGATCAAAAATGGGAAATTCGGTAAAAATGGTCTTACCAGAAACAAGTGAAGCACATCCGCTAGTTAGTTGGGCTTCAATCAGTCTCGTTTTCAACCGTTAGTAAGTAGCAAAAGTTAATAGGTCTCAGTGTGTGTGTGTGTGTGTGCGAGTGTGCGAGTGTATGAGTGTGTTGCTGTTGTTTGTGATTGATAGTCTTAGTCCGAGTTGTACACAGAATAAGCGAAAGTTCACATTGAAATAAGAGAGTGTCGCAGTTGAAAGAATTGATCGCACTGAGAATACCCTTTCTTGGAATTAAATTTGATATTTTATATGCTACAAATGTATTACTTGTTATATATATGTATATATATATATATATATAATATATATATATATGTGTTACGTATACGTTCGCTGTTCCTGGATATGTTGAGCTGAGTGAGATGCTTTCATCCTCCGTCCGTATTTATATGTGTTTATTTATATATGTATATATATGCTAAGCTGGCAAATCATACTTATATATATATATATATGCGGAGCATATCGCCAGCTTCGTTGTGCACAACAACTGGTTCCAGTGGAGACCAGCGCCATATTTTCATATTTTCATTCGTTGTTTTTGTAGTTTCCCGTTCGCTTCCCTTTGCTTTCCGTTCCTTGTTTTGCTTTCCATTCTGCTTCCCTTTCGATTTCCGCTTTTCTTTATTTCGGCTTCATTTAATCAGCATGAATTATTTTTCTTTTCAATGAAATCGCCTTTTTTCGCTGTTTTTGTTGCTGTTTTTTTTTGTTGTTATGGATTGGATTTAATATGCCTTTCTGCTCTCACTTGCAGATTTATACTGTCAGCACATATATATACAGTCTATATGCAGTATGTGTTGATGGCTCTCTGAATAGTTGAGCTCTGTTTGGATATCATTCATATAAGACATAATGGTGGCTGGCTTTTATATGTAGAATCAAAAATGTTCAATCTTTGCATCCATGCCACATTTGGCATACAAATAACTGGTGAGATTATCAAACCTTTGCCCCAATGTCCCATTTTATGTATGCTCACTGATATCTATTAAATGCAGTATGGAACTGTATAGAAAGTGGGCTACACATCGATATTCTCTGAGTAGTAAATATACTAATCGCCAAGGGCAACAAACACGCAAACAAACCACAAGCCTGAGCTCAGCCAGCCAAATATTGCAACACACAATTTCATTTGCAACTGAAACTGCGGTCGAGCTGCTCTCTAATCCCATTTGTAGGCCATTTGCGGTTGCTGTTCCTTGGGTTAGTATTTTAAAATTTAACCGGATATAACACAAAGAATTGTCAATGACATTTATGCCTGTTAAGCTTCGCTTTTCGCAATTAGCTTTTCATTTTTTTTTGTCATTGATTATTGAGTGCTGGACTCATTCTCAAAAAAAGATAATAATAATAATAAACACAATGTGTCCCAGTCAAGGCAGAACTCGACTGGAACATACCGTGTACCCAAATCCTTACCTTTCGCAGATTGTATACATGATATTCAGGCCTGAACATTGCGTATACGCATTGTGTGTTCGGCTGTACATATGAGTTTAAGATGTATGTGTGTGTGTGTGTGTGTGTGTGTGCATATGTATACATTAAATGCATGAATACACGATTTGCTAGAAAACTTCTTAATTTTCATCCATTTTCCAATGGGCACAAAGTATACAAATTGCATTTATCTCTAGCATTGAGGGCATTCTATGGTCGAGTTGAACGAGCTAAGTTTTTCTAATCCCAATCAAAATCGCGATTTATATTCCTACTACTAAATATGTTTGTTTTGTTTTCTTTTGTGTGTCATTTTTGTTGTTGTAAATTCCTGCGAATAAGCTCGGGTTCAAATCTATTTAATCCTATAACAACGAAAAAAAAATGCTTAAATTTGCCATTTTCAATTTTGTAGTTTGTTGGCTTTGCTATTGTTGTTGATGTTGTTATTTGAGAAACAGGACGACAATGCGATTTTGCCATTAAATATATATTTACGTGCACTTTTAATTGATTTTGCATGTTTCGTTTTTATTTTTTGTATTTCCAAAAAGTTTTTGCTCTTAATTTATTGTCCGTTTGTGATGCTGGCAAAATGCAGTGTCGTCTTGCTTCGATGTGGGTCAGAATATATAAATCGTGTCAGGATATCGGAATACATGTTTAAAACAAGGAAAAAGCATCAGCTACATTTTGTAGGCAACACTTGAGGACTCAATAAAGACATCTCTACGAAAATATACTCATCTGTTGAATGACAATTTTATCGACTATTTGCATTTATGCTAGACATTATCGATTATTAATTTTTATCTAATTTAAAAGTATATATATATATTTTTTTTGGTTCTAAACTCAAATTTATGCCAAAAAAAAAACTATTCATATTTGGATAAACCACGTTGTCAATAATTGCACATAACCCTGCCTCGTTGTTCGACTTTCTCAGCGACGCGGCTCCTCTCCACATTCAGTCTATGCCTCAGTTTATTAAAAACACCAACAGCAACACAGATTTCATCTGCTTAGAGGACAAACAAATCGGTGCATCTGTTGGCGTTGCGTCGCTTCAAGTGGTTCTTTAAGCGGACCACCGACGCAATGATGATCTTGGTGCGCCTTGTCAGCTTGGTGACCACCTTGCGATTGCAATCGATGCCGCTACTGTTCGAGTCATCGTCATCCTGCTCAGGCTCATGCCTCATATCGATGTTGTCGTCATCAGCAACACTGTCTCTGGCTCGATCTCGATTGCGTTGCTGCATTGCCGCTGCAGCCGCTGCTGAAGTGGATGGGCCGTCTTCATCGAAGGGTTGCTGTGATTTCGATTTGGATTTCGAGCTCGATTTGGATTTACAGGTGGAGTTCTTGTCTTTGGCACGACGCTGCTGCTGCATCCCACCGGTGATCATCTCAAACTTGCTCAACGCGTTCAAGGCGTGCCTGGTCTCGTTGGTGTCCTCGTCCTCCAGCTCGCTGTCGCCCATCTTCAATATGCTCTCCAGATTAATGGTGCGTCGAATCGGCCTTCGCACTTGATGACTCCGTGAATGAGTTGGAGCCAGCGAATGCGCCTGTGTCTGTGCTTGTGTCTGTGTCTGTGTGAGTGCCTGTGCCTGTGCCTGTGCCCGCGCCTCTTCATCATCGGTATCCATTGGGTCGTCGTGACAGACGCTCATTTGGCGCACAATGCGACGAGCCGGCAGATGCATGCACCGATGATTCTGTATGGTGCTGAGGGAGTTCAGGCGCTGCCGCTCACTCTCAGTGAGGCGACTTATGCGCAACGGATTGAACTTCACCTGGGCCACAATGCCCACCAGCAGCTCGTTCACGTTGTGCGAAATGCCCGACGACGTCTCGATAAACTTACAGGGTATCCTTTCGGCCAGCTGCTGGCCCACTGCCAACGAGAGCATGCATATATCATTAGCAAATCAGTTAGTTATGGTGGCTAGACTCAGCACTTGGTTTGCGGTATACTCACATTGACGGGATACCACACGCTTCCGCTCCAGATCCGCTTTGTTGCCCACCAGGATGGCGCCGCGTGACAACAGCATGTCGTTCTCCTTGAGATAGGTCAGCGCTCTCTCGGCTGCTTCGAAGGTATCGCGATTCACCACCGAATAGACGACGACGAACAGATCAATGTTGTACGTTGCACAGAATGCCTCTGTCTGCAACAAGATAATCGATAACGAGAACGATAACGAAAACGATAACGATAACGATGGCAAGGTATGCCAAGATGTAAGAAGTTAAAATAGACAACCAACTTTATTAAAGCAACAACTGAATACAATCTTAAAATATATAATATATATATAAATATATATATATGTATATATATGTATATATATATATATATATTATAAGTTTGTTGTCACATTTCGATTTACGATAGTTTTTTTCGCTGATTGATGAGTTGAGTCACTTTAAAAGTGTGCGCACAAAAGCAGGCAACACAAATTGTCAACACAGATTTAGCAACAAAGCCTGCAACAAAGTGCTACACAGACAGACACCTACAGACACACACACACACAGGCACACACACAGGCACACATACGCTTGTCAGCTTGGTAAAAAGCTAACAAGATAATAAGCGATGGCCTTTTTAGCAGCTAATAAAAAAAAAGTGCTAATGACAGCTGCATTAACTGACTATGTCTAGGCGGATGTGTGTGTGTGGCAGAGATTGCTCTTAACCCAGAAATGGACTATTTGACCCGCTCAGGACACGGACTGTTGGCAGTGCACTTACCGACATTTCGCAGGCTGGATGATCAATCATTTCCAAGTCTGTTTCAACGTTATCGACCACAACGGTCACAGTTTTCTGTCCATACTCATCATCTATAGCAGAGAAGGTGAAAGGATAAAAGTAAGTTAGTAAACGGAATAGGCTCCAGTTAAAAGTATATATTTACTATATGCACATTTACTTTATATATATATATATATATATATATATATATATATAGATATCATTTCCAGATTCATTCATAGTTAACCTAGTTTTGCAAAATTACTTGAAATATTTCATTCAGCTGAGATGCACTAAGAAAATCGACTTTACTGTTTGCCACTTTATTGAATATTAAGAATTACCCGGAATTTATTCCTATATATAAGCATCGCATATCAAATATATTTTTACCTGTCAAAATTTAAACCAATTTCGGTGGGCTGTCAGGCCAACAATACAAAAAAAAAGAAGAATATCCATTATTTATTTACATCTTGTGGGTAGCTTTAAGACCCCATTGCTGTCATGCCATTGCCAACATGCAATCCCCTCACACACACACACACACACACACACGTGGGTGGCGTTCAACACAAAAGCTGTCATATGTTTGAAAAAAAGAAGACATTTCGACTAGCAGACACCCTGCTCACCACTAACTTTATCACCAATATATGAAAAATGAGGCTAAGTCAAACAAGGCCAGCAAGAAGAGAAAGCATCAAAACACTTTGGACATTAACAAGTTGGCCGGATTAACTGATTAATGTCTGAATCCATTATGCATCGGCACTAAATCGACAAATCAATTTGCCTTCCAATTAAACAGAGACCAGACAAGAGGAAATGGCTTAAAAACACCTGTAGAGTGGACTATATATGCTGACATCTAAATTTCATTATCTTGACGATGACTACATAGGCAAGTATAATGCTTATAGAGGTAATTAAAATTCAGCTAATTGATATAGTTGTTCGATCCGACCTACTGCGACATATGCCAAGTTCCATCGGGAAAGTTTTACAACTGAGAGACAAATAGACAAACGGTCGGCTTTAGCCATATCAACTTGGCTATTGCTGATGTTTATATATATACCATCTGGGATAGGAGATGGTTTCTTCAATGTGTTACAAGCTTCACCACAAATTTATAATACTCTCTGCAAAAAGTAGTATTTGCTGCATTTGCAGCTCACAGTATTTGCGGCTATTTTAGTTAGATGAAAAAAACGTCTCAAGCTCTCTTTGGTTAAGTACACGCTTACAAACACGCTTACACACACGCTTACACACACACTCACACACACACTCACACACACGCTTACACACAACACAATAAAAGCTGCTTGGGAAATAAAGTTTCTTTGCTTTTGTGGGTGGCTGTTTTTTGGTGCTGAATTTAGTGCTAAATGAAACATGAACAATTTGAAAACTCTCTCATTAAGTGCAGCGCTAACTGTAGCAAAGCATTGTGGCATGCAACATTCTACAACAAAAAAAAAAAAACTCTCAAACAAACTTGAGCAGCTTCACTTCTGCTTCCGCTTCTGTTTCCGCTTCAGCTTCTAACTATCGGGCTTATTTCTTTTTTTGACGTGTGCTTGAATTATTATTTATTTATAATTATTATTAATTTACTTAATTAATGATTCAAGAAGTTGATAACGGAATAGACATTCTTGGTTTCTCTAGTCAGAAATTCGTAATTTTCGTGATTTGTTTTCCTTCTCATTTTGGGTTGTGTTTGCTTCCGCTCCCGTTCAGCCTTTCAGCTGGTGTTGCTGGTGTTGCACGCAAGCCATACATCATTAGAGTGCACGTGCCAGTGGGGGGCGTGGAACAGGAACATTGTTAAGATTAGGCTCTAATGGCAGCTCCACCCCCACTCACAGTCCACTGCCCACCAACGGCTCAAACTGCCACACGCACTCGATTCGGACAACGACTCCTACACTCGGCACTTAGTGTGACGGTGGGGCGAGAGCAAAGGGGGAGGGAAGGGAAGGGAAGGGGGACGGGTGTGGGTAGATGGATAAGATTGCGATTGCTCATATGCGGCATGCACTTCCGACATGGAACTTCAAATGTTGCAGGTCAATCCCCTTATCCAGGGGCAACTAACTAGCTAAACAGATTCATCAAATGGCAACATGCTATTCATTAATAATTTTCATATATTTCTTAGCGTTTGCTCGATCTAAATCATGTCGAGAAGTCACTTCAAGTAAGGGGCATTGCCAGCACAGACCCCCCCCCCCCCACACACACACACACACACTCGTTGGCAAAGGTAATGAAATTAACAGCGACGCTTTTCATTTTTAATGAGTTTTCTACATAATTAAAATGCAAATGCGCCACAGACGAAGCCTTAATCTTAATCCTGAACCAAATTCAAATTGAAATCAAAATGATGTCCTTGATAAAATTTGTATTTAATTCACAAAGTTCTTGAAACTGCAAAGACGTCAGATTGAGTTATAGCCACAGCAGTTGCAAGAGCCAGTTAAGCAAAGCAATTCAAGCAAGTCCAACAGAAAACTCCAGAAAACTGGCAATCGGACAGACTTTTCTATACTTACCCAAGCTCCAATCGTAGGCGCAGATGAAGTCGGAGTTGGCGAATTGACGGGTTAGCGCTGACTTGCCCACACCGGATGCACCAAGCATGGCTATATTGAACACCGGAACATCCTCAGCCCTCTCCGTCGTCTGCTTTTCCGGATCCGGCTGTAGATCAGTTTTCGATGTTGCTCCACCTGATGTTCGCGACGTATTGCTACACATGATTAAGGAGAGGAAGGGAGTGGGAGTAGAGCAAGGGAAACAGCCATTAATTAAGCACATTTCCAGAAATAGGCTAACAAAAAACAAATACCTAACTTAAAACACTTATTGGCTTGGCTTTTAGTACTGACTCCTCAATTGAAATTCAAGATAAATGAATAGTTTTCCCGGACTACTTAATATCAACAAGGGTCTATCGATTTGAAGAATTTGATCAGCACTGCGTCTAATTTGGGGCACAGGAGTAAATTTCGAGATACACGCTTTCTCGGGGCATGTAACAGCAACAATGGGGTGCATACAGCACTGAGGCACGGGGCAGATTTGACAGTAAAAAAGACAAACAATGCGACGAAAAAGTCACAGCAAACTGCAGGGTAAACAAAGTAAGTAAGTCTAATCAGTAGAAAGAGAGAGAGAGAGAGAGGTACATATATATATATCGATAATCGATTTTTATCGATACTATGTATAAGTGGAACTGAAACTAGTAAATGGTGATAATATTTCCAAGCAAACACTGTCAAAATGATGCTATTTTATGTACTCAAAATGTTTCCCCAACATCGTAGTGAGTATACAGATTCTGCTGCTGATTTTGATTAAGACTATATATGCTGATAAAATCAGAGATTGCACAGTTTCATTTGATCCTTTTTATTCCATTTTCATGGGCACACGGCATAAACAAAAGGTTGCTTTGCTCCTGTTTGCAATAGCAGCCAAAATTGCTTTGTGTACCAAAATGTATTGTGTGAAAATGAGAATGTATGAAATTGTTTTGTAGCTGTAGGTGTGCCTGTCAGCGTGCCTGTCGGTGTGTGTGTGTGTGTGTGTGTGTGTGTGTGTGGCGCACGTCTGTCATTGTTGCCCCCTGTGAACTTTGCTCTGTGCGTTTTGGTGTCGTTCATTTTGATTTCGCCAACAACCTAATGCAACCCCTGACTGACTGCCTGACTGGCTGGCTGGCTGACTGACTGGCTGTCAGTCTGACTCACCTATTGTGACGATCCATGTTTTGTGAGGTTGATGGAGTGCCCGTCGATGTCACAGAATTGATCGAACGCGACTTGCGACTGCTGTAATTTAAAAAAAAAATTAATAGGTAAGAATGCTGTAGTCGAGTGAGCTCGACTACGATATACCCTAAACCATCCAGCTGTTAAATATATTCAAATTTTAATTTGCCTTCAAAAGTGTCATCATTTCTAAATATAGGCAATTATCGATTAATCAATGTCTACAGAAAATGCTTGCGACTGCTGATGGCACGATGAGGATCTTAAAGATGCATAAGCCCAGTTGATAAAAAGTATGTTAACATATATTATATGTGAGTATAGGAAATGTATCGGCATTCGGGAATCAGACACAATTATCGATAAAAATGAAGCAAGCCTGATATCCGAGAAATCATATTCCAAATTTGTCTATAGTCTCTGAGAGATGCGTGCGTTTACAGACGGACAGACGGATGGATGGCGTTGATTCTGATTAAGGATACGTAATGCTTAATGCTTCCTGCAGACAGTTACATACATTTGCCCAAAACCATCATACCCATTTTACACATTTCGGGTAAATGGGCTCGGGGTAACAAAAAATAAGAAAATACAATAAAAACACACGTAAATAAACAATGCATGAAAGTTGAAAAACGTGAGAAATTGTGTGTTACATTTGTGTTACGTGTCTGTCACGGAGACAAGAATCATGAATACATATTCTTGAATCACGATTCGCATTTGTTATCCCTCTCATTGTGTGTGTGTGCGAGTGTGTGTGCCTTGTGTGTGAGTGTGTGCTACACTTACCGCATTGAATCGCCCAAGTTGCAAACGCCATGCGTTGTAATGCTGAAGCTGCGAACTCTGTAAAACTCAATGACGCCATCCTCGTCACAGCGCATCGTTGAGCGGGTGTCTGCGAGGCGAGGGGGCTGCAAAACATGCAACAGGTGCAACACATTAGCAGGTTCATTTTAATCGAGTTTGCGGTCAGCATTCACAAACATTTATACGCTACATATTTCAGCTGTAAATTCAGTTAAAAGCCCAGTCCCCTTTTGCTGTTTTGCTGTTCATTTCAGTTAGAAGCAAGCTCAAGCAATTTCTGTATATGTATGTGGGCACAGTCGTGCATACTCCTACATACCCTGTACACATACATATGTACATACAATAGCTATAATAAGCTCAACTTAAAAGTTTATTTACAACTTTTTGTATGTCATTGATTCCATAAGCTTTAACTGAAAGTCCAAAATCAAAAGAAAAGTTTTAAATTGCACAACTTTAAGTAAAAAATGATTATGGATCATATTTGAAATGTGTGCAGCAGTTAAAAAAAAAAAAACAATATATATACATACATAATATTGTATTCCTATGCAAACATACTACAGAAACACTCAAAGACAATGAAACTCGATTCAGCTTCAAAATTGATTATTTATTTATTCAATTCATTTGGAGAAAGATGCTCATTGAAATGACAGTCATTGTTCAATCTACAATGCTGAACTCCTGAACTCCTTAATCAGAACTAAGACCTCTCATCCACTTATGTGTGGATGATAACAGTTCACTCAGCCATGTGAAATTTAGTGCCAAAAATGAATGGAGCGAATTACTGTAGTACGAAAAGATGCCAAAGTTTGAGAGAAATATTGAAAGGCTGGTGTGGAGTGGTAGTTTGCTAATGGCGGGTTATTAATGGCAAACTTCCATGCCAACCATTCAGCATGACTAAGCAACTGGCAACTGGCAACTGTCAACTCTGCGGAAGTCTGAACTTTCGCAGCGGGCCGCAAGCTGAGGCAGTGAAGAGCGCCAGGTGGCAGCAATTGTATTAAGCGTTCAACCACAACTAAAGCACTGCAGGCATCATCATCTATCTATCCTCAAAATAGATAGACACTGGTGTGTCTTGGCCAAAACAAAAAACTTAGAGCAGTGTACATGGCTTGGTGCGTGTGTGTGTCTGTTAGACATTAACTTGGATTTATGGTAAGCAGTATGGGAACGATGCTAATGCGAAACCTAACCGAAAGTTGCCATAGTTATTTGGTTGCTTAACACCTGCCACACAGGCATCATATCGTATCTATGTGGCACTTATCTAGTCGCTGCAGCTAATGTAATTAATAAAAAAGTAGGCAACCCAAAATGCAAACACAGCAGCAGCAGCAGCAGCATGATGGTAGAAGCCAAGGAGAACGTCTCTCGGGGCAGCACTTGGAAACTGTCACTTTGACCTCTCTCTCTCTCTCTCTCTCTCTCGCACTCTCTCTCTCTCTCTCGCACTCTCTTGCTCTATCCGCCCCGCTTTTTATCGTCTGTTTTGGGCGAAAAAATCGCTTGGCTTTCTATGGTCCAAAATGAAATCAATGGCAAAAACACGTATCCAGCGAGCAACGGGTCATTGACATCCAGGGAGGCTCATATAAATTGAACGAGCTGCTGCCAGAAGAACGTCAAGTGTGTGTGAGTGTGTGTGGCATACACAGAGAGAGAGAGAGAGAGAGAGAGATAGAAAAGAAAATGATTTAAAATGAAGAATATTTACCATTTATTATATACACACCAACTTAATTTTAAAAACACTTTTTTGATATCCGATTGTAGTTTGCAATTGGGATTTGTGAAAAGCAGTCGTTTTTTTGTTTTGTTTTTTTTTTTCCAGTGCAGACACAACAAGCCAAAGGCATTGTAATGGCAACACGAACGGAACAAGGCACAAACAAGCCGCAAAATCTTGTCTGATGCAACGTGCAGCTGCCTCGCGCCTGCCTCGCGTCTGCTGCGCCTGCTCTCACTCCTACTAGTACTCCCTGGAGGTGTACTACTGCACTGCACAGCACACACACACATATACAGAGAGAGAGATAGAGACTTCCCCTAGGAATCCTATTACTTTGTGCATACTCAATTGAGGCTGGAATTGAGATGGAGTCTGGGTGTTTGTGCGACAACTTGACTGAAAGTTTTTGGCAATAAGCTGAAGTGAATCCAAGTGCAAATAGTCAGTGGATGTGTGTGTGTGTGTGTGTGTGTGTGTGTTCGTTAGGATTTACAACATTGACAGCTGGATTACTTAATACTATTGCATTGTGCTGTTTTCTCACTTGTCCCCAGGGGCTTCATGTGAAATGAAACAGAAGGCGACAAACTATAGACAGAATAAACAGTTGACGGGAATCCCTCCAGATTATTGTCCCAAGTTGTGTATAACTTGAGATTAGCCCTGCTTATTGCCAATCATCTGTATTTTGTGGCATGCGGCACAGCTGTGAAGCCACTATGAATATAATTTAACTAATTACCAAGATTAACACATCAACTGGAACAATTACAATTACAATTGTTTTGATTAAACCTTTTGCCAATCAAATTATGACAGGAAAGTTGAACTATCTTGTTAATTGCACAAGTATTAGCCACAAGTAGTTAGGAAAGTAGGAGTACTTAATGCAATTAGTTTGGTAATTGGAATATAGACCAATCATAAGCCCAAACATTGATCCACTTACCTTACGACCCTCGGCGGGCATACTCGATGTTCTGAGACGCTGGCGAACCGACAACCGACGACCGGATTGGGTGCCGCCAATGTTGAGCGTACTGCTGTGTATCTGAACCTTAAGGATACCGGCTGAGGATTCGCCAACGCCGCGATCACGTTTCTGGCTGCTGTGTGCCGGCTCTGACGGGGCCTGGGACGGTGGTGGTTTCTCATTGCTGGGCGTATTGGTGTCGGCGCCACTCGTTGTTCCCTCGATAACCGTTGAGAGTGCCGTGCAGGAGGCGCGCAGCTCAGTGGTGCCACCGACAGCGGCTGCAGTTGCCGCATACTGCGGCGATACCGCACCGGACATCGCCTGCTGAAATGTTAAAACGCCACTTTCTTTTCCACGGCCGACCGGCGATTTGGCCAGCGACATGCGCTCCCTGCAATGATTCAAGTGCAAACACGTACATCAAATCCACTAACTCTGCTCGACCCTCGATGGTCGACGGCTGCTTGTCTAACAAGCTGAAAGCGAATATAATATGCAACTGGCTCTGCTCCCATTGGCCATTAATCATAATCCGTAATCACGAAACCACCAAGACGAAAATTAATCATAGTTCAGCAGCTTATCCATAGTTTATCCAAATTGCGACTTGTTGTTTGCCTTTTTTTTATTGTCTTCATCATCCATATCTTTCTCTCTGTCTCTCTCTTCGTGTCCCTCAGTCTTGTTTGTATATATATTTTTACTCACTCCCTTCTTATCTGCCTCCCATCCTTTCCTTCTACTTTCCCTTTCTTGATATATCCTCAATATGTTTTCTTCTATTTATTTTTCTTCTTTTATTTCATTTACCTTTTTTTACCCTCCTGCCTTCTCCCGTCCTTCCTTCCTTTAGAAATACTCTCACTTCCTCCTCGATTTTTCTTATTTTTATTTTTTGTATATCCGTTTTTATGTTTTCTCACTCCCTTCTTACCGTCGTCTTACTTCCTTCCCACTTTCACTGCTCCGCCTTTTTTTTAAATATAATTTTTTTTAGCCCCAACTAATAATAAGAACAGGAGTAGGAAGCAAATTTGGGCTTTTGTATAGTTCTTAGCACCAGTTATAAATAGTTATAGAAAATCACAACGGCTACTTTGGCCATTCTATCACCTAATATTGCAGATATTATATATATAATAACTATTGTATTTATCAAAATAATTTTGATTTGGAAACGCTACAATAATACTTAAATTTGGTACTCCCAATAATCAGGTACACAATTCTCAACAAAAAAAAAAGTAAATAACTAATGTAAGCCAAACTTATGGAAATTGACAGTCGATTGATAAGCAGAGTATTTCTGGAACCGTATAACCCATTTGTGCTACAGAGATGTTTCCAGATAGGTATAGGTATATGGTAGGAACCACCCCTCAAACAATTTAGTTGAAGTTTCGTAGTTGTAGTCGATGTTGGAGATATTTTTGTTGTTGCTGAAGTTGGAGCTGTAGCTGCAGTTGTTGTTGTGGTAGAAGTTGTTGTTGGTTGATGATGATGTTGTTTTTGTTTTTGTTTTTGTTATAGTTGAAAGCGTAACTAACTAAGAACACTAACAAGCATACTAATTAAGTAAGGAGACAGGCGGAACTTGGGGGTAAATAGATTGTGGGGCATAGGATGGTTCAGCTCTGGGCTGTGGTCAATAAGCATTGAATACTTGCCTGCTGGGGTTGTACGACTCATGCGACACATCCTCGACATCGGGCGACGAACAATCACTGTTGCGATTGTAGATCTGGTCGTTGTGCAACAGATTGGCAGCTATCGATGACGAGCGACGTCTGCCCAATATCGGTGATTCCTGGGCGTGCATGTTTTGCTGCAAGTGCACAGACTGTGCATATATATATATATATATATATATAAATACATATTTATAGATTTATATATGAAGAAAGATGGACAAAGAGGGGTTATTGGCTGCTTACACGACTGGAGCCGTTGACGAGACCACCGCTTGCGGCTGCATTGACAAAATCATTATATGTGCTTAGCCTGGCACCAACTGATGTGCTTGGCTGCGTCTGCCAAGTCCTCTGTCGTGAGCGTCCGCGCTCCTCTTCCCGATCCCGATCACGATCCCGATCCCGATCACGATCTCGCTCCCGCACTCGCTCCCTCTCCAAGCGCGATAAATTGCAGGTGCTGCCACCCATCACATATGGTTGGGGTTGTTGCGGCTGCCATGGTTTCTGCTGCGGCTGTTGCTGATGCGGGTGTTGCTGCTGCGGCTGTTGCTGTTGCGGCTGTTGTTGCTGCGGCTGTTGTTGCGGCAGCTGCGACTGGAGCTGCTGCTGCGTCTGTTGTTGCTGGTTACGCATATTGCAGTAACCGAAGCCGTCCGAATTGTTATTAATGCCGCTCTGCTGCTGGACGCGCAGCAATGGAAACACGGAGGAGACACCGTGAATCGGTGGAGTGGGCAGCCTACGATGCCCAATTCCAGGATATGCTGGGGGTGGAGGTGGGGCTGGGCTTTGCAACTGATTATGATGCTGGTGCAGGATATGTAGGTGCTGCAACTGGTGGTGATGCTGCTGCAGCTGTTGCTGCTTCAGTGCCAGCTGCTGTGAGAGTTCCATATGAAGCTGCTGCTGCTGCTGCTGCTGCTGTTGTTGCTGCTGTTGTTGCTGCTGTTGCTGCTGCTGTTGCTGCTGCTGTTGCTGTTTCTGCTGCAGATGCACCAGTTGAGGCTGCCTCAGAATCGGTCTCATCACATTGTAGGCCAACTGATGGGGGGCTGGCGAGGGCACTGGTATCGGTGAGGCGTTGCTCAACCCATCGCTCTCGTCACAGCTGGTGTCTGCAATTGCCATTGCCAAAGCATGCAATTAATTGACTTTCCTATCGTTCAAACTTTCAAGGTTTATATCAATAACAGTGCGCAAAGTATCATGCCAGTCGTTTACTCGCAACTAGATCTAGAACTCTTCATTGAAAGGCAGCATTTTGAATTGCGAAATTTTGTTGACTACCTTCAGGATATATTATTATTACACACACGTGAGTGTGTGTGGCACACAGACACAAATGGGGCACAAAAATAACAGAGACAAGTCGAATGTCTGCCACAATTTTGTGACTCTTGTCTCTTGTTTACGTATTTGTGGCCTCGGGGCTCAGCTGGCCAACTCTCAATCTCCTTGGAATGTCTGCCCGTTTTTGTATACATATATTGTCAACTAGAACACAGCTGGGATTCATTCATGTTTGCTGGCTGCATGTGTGACTGGAAAAATATGTTGCCCAAGTGGCACTCAATGTCATTTATTTAAGGCAAAGAGGTTTGGGTATCGTTTGCAAACACTTTCGTTCCGCCTTATTCCAGAGAGACGGACAATTTAATAAACTTACGGTCTTCTGAGCCGTCAAATGAAGGCCAAAAAAGTTATCTGCCGATTACCGAAGATTAAATATTCTATAAGTCTTATCATATAAAAATAGCTAATTATAAATAAAACAATCTACGACATCTAAAATTAGATTCACAGACCCAATTCGACTATATATCAATGGCAAAGGGGATGCAGTCAAAGAAGAGGCATTTGTATACAGCATATTTGTGATGAAATATTATGCAATACCCACGTATGTAAGCCATGTAAGCATTTTGTTTAAAAATAACAAGAAAATAATGCTGAGGGCGAGAGCGTGGAATTTGGATAACAAATTGAATAACAATCGGTAACCTTGAATGGGCATTCAGTTGCACCCACTCGATTTATACATGTCGATCCACAAATCGACATGTCCTGGATAAATTAAATAAATGAGCATTAAATACATTTGAAATCGTCGAACTCTCCTTAATGTGATTAAGGGCCAACAACAGAGCATCAAATGAAAGCGTCCCCACTTGCCTGCGGGGGGTGCACACATTGTACACATTTGTAAATTCGTTAAACTGATTAAAGTTGAACGCAATCAGCTAAATTCAATTTGTTATAAGAACATATCAACAGGCATTAGTCAATGTATTTTGCCTCAGCTATTGCAATGATTCATTAACTTTACTCCGCAGACTTTCAAATTGGAGCATGACTTCTCGAATAAATCGATTTTCGATTGCAATATGAAACAAATTTGTAAAGATATATGTTTCCCATGTGGCATATACATATATAACTCGATAATCGTTAATCATTTGAATAAATTACGTTTACAATTCTTTAATGGGTATATGGTTATCTCAGTTATTCAATCTATCTGTCTCTGCTACAGTTTAAACCCCCTCTTTTGGCATATGCAAGTGAAATCATTAAAATGCAGGCAACACATTAAAATTACATTTAAGACTTAGCCAAAATCGATATTGGCTCATTCAGTGTGTTCCACCATAATAATGAAATGTTTAAATTATTATTAATGTATTCTAATGGGACAGCCTGCTCTTTGTCCGATTAATTGATGTTCAAGTTTGTTGTTATCCCAAATACGCCAGTTGAATGTTATGGGTGGTGATTTGAGGGGGAGGGAGGGAGGGATTGTGCAGCTCATTTGACCGACTCACCCGAAAAAGGTAAAATTGTGAAATGGTTCGATTCATGTTCATGTTGTAAACTTTTTGGGTTTGCTTAGCAATTTTTACTTCGTTGCTCTTTTTGGCACTTTTTAAGTTGATGTTTAACTTTCGTTTTGGGTCCAATTTCGCTTATGTTCTGCCAGTATATGTGTGTGTGTGTGTGTGTGTATGTGTGTGTGTGTGTGGGCTTACATTACATGCGACACAATTTGTGTGTGTAAAAACTTAATGCGCATTATGCTTTGATGGGCACCTAGGTGGGCGACATTTCAGTTTGTGCTAACGACCTTGCCACAAGGTAAGCGAATTGCCACAAGTTGATTTCCTACACCACCTGTCACATCTATGTATGTGCGAGTGTGTGTCTGTGTGTGTGTGTGTGTGTGTGTTGAAAGGCGACACCCTCAACCCAAGTGTTCAACTATCAAAAATCGTAGATGTCTCAGATATTCAAACCTACGCTTTGCTAAGGTTTATATTGCTATCGGTTATCGATTTGTATCGAAGAAAATTGGAATGAATATGAATATAAATATGAATATGATCGGATTAAACACAACACCACAGATGTTGTATGGTTCTACCATCTATGCTTACCAAAATCAAAGGCCCGCTCGAGGATGACAGAGTGGCGCTGCTGCAGCTGTTGTTGGCGCTCCCTGGCACCGTCGGCCAACATGCGATTGATGAAAAAGCTGCTGGGACCCGGGCCACTATCTCGTGAACTATCCTCGCCATCTGGACCCTGACGCATCTGTTGTAGATGACGCTGTTGCTGTTGCTTTTGCTGTTGCTGTTGCTGATGGTAAGCATCCAGATCGATGTCCTGTTGCATATACTGCTGTCTACTGATCATAGTATGATCGTTCTTGTCGATATCTGGCCGCACATACTGGCCATCGGAGGGTAGCGAACGGCGTGAATAGTCAGTCCGACCTGGCAGACGAACTGCTGTACGTGCCACTGGCATCGTTCCCATGTCAAATTGTATCATGCTGGCAGTGCTACTGCCACTGGAGTCCGTGGAGATAAGTGCCGGTCTGTGGATGATCGCAGTGCCGGTGCTATAGCGACGTCCGCGACCCGATCGATAGGAAATACCATGCCTGACACGATAGTCGGTGACAGACTCGTCATCATCCTCGTTATCATCCTCGGCTCTGGCCATGTCCAAGGCCCGTGACATGTCGGCAGTGCTACCACTACGACCGCGTGAAGCTCCTAAATACTGCTCATGTTGCTGGTTGCGATGAGCCTGGATATGCTGCTGACGTTGAGAATGCTGTGAATGCGTAGCAGGGGAATGCTGAGCAGAGGAATGCTGAGCAGGAGAATGCTGAGCAGGAGAGTGCTGAGCAGAGGGATGTTGGGATTGTGAATGGGAATGGGAATGGGACTGTCCGCCACGTGGACTGTTATTTCTGCTGTGACTGCGCGAGCTGCCACCACAGCGCTGACGTTGGTTATTCATTGGATGGATGTCTCTAGGTATTACCTGGAAATATGTTAACCAGAGAAGAGGATACAACGATTAATTGGCAATGAATTGAAAAGCGAAGTTGACGTCGCAGAGGGGTCAGTGCGGATGCGAGGGAAGACAAACATCTTAGCTGAAAGACTACTTGATTAATTTGAACTAGTACCTTGTTCTCCAGCAGATTAGCAAAGAGTTCAATTTGTTCCTCTTCTTCGTTCATAATTTCAAAGAAATGCTTAAACGTATCCGGAAACGAAGCCGGAAACTGAGCCTGCATCTGAGACTGGGACTGGGACGGGCCCAGACCCTGACTGCGGGCATCCAGCTTGGTATCCATTGGTGTTAGCCGTGGCTGCTATAAAAAACTCCCAATTAACATGCAATCGAGAACATCAAATAGTTAGAAACAAACAGGCAAGCAACAACAACAGATCAAACAAAGTAAAACAAAATCAAAACTGAAAATTAAAATAAAAATTTACGAAACTGCTTCTCTCTCTCTCTCTGTCTATTTTTATGTGTGTGTCGCAAACAATTAAGATATTCAGCTAATTCAAATAGAACTTTAAACAAGACAAAACATTTCGCGTGATCGATTTGTTGATATGCTGTGATTAGATGTTTCCAGACGTTTCCTCGGTCAGGAATTAACATCCTTGGTCTTTTATTATGATCTTTATCATAAATTAGTTAATCATTCTTAAGCTGCCTTTTTTCAAAAACCTTTTGTGTTTAGTTAAGCAAGTTAAAACAAATTAAACATCCTAATAAGATGTGCTCTTAAGTAAACTTTTGATCTTCGCTGACTAAGAAGCTATCTACAACAACTTGTAGGGTATGACAGGGTATGGACGAAAGCATAACCGAGTGGAAACAAAAGAAGTTATGCCCAGCAAGCTGGTGTCTAAGTGGCTAAATTTGAAAAGTTGCCACGCCGCTGGCAATTCAGTGCCAGGTTGACACAGTCAAAAGAAGCCTGGCATTCAGGCATTCAGCATTCAACCAGTCAACCACCCACTGGGAAACATCCACTCATCCCTAACCACGAAAATTAGGAAGTTATTTAAATGGCGGTTTTTGGTCGCAAGGCCAGCAACAACAGCCAAACCAGAACAACACAAACAATGCGAGCCGCCAGCTCAAATGGACTGACGACTGTTATGTCAGTCCCTCCTCCATCTCCATCTTCATCTCCATCTCATCTCACCTCTAGTTCCCATCTCTGCATAAGAAAATTGGCCACTGAAAATGCTGTCAACTGTAAACTGAAATTATAAATCATCGGAATCGGAGCTGAATAACTAAAAAACTTTTGAAATTTTGCTTAATTGATATATATACTACTACTATATATACCACTATATACTGATTTAAATAGTACGAAAAATACATCGCACATATAGCGTATAAAGGATTCTCGTTTTGGCATGAAAGCTCAACAACGAAAACTGACAGTTTGTCATTCAGTCAACATTAAACCACAATAAAGTTGCCACATTTTGGGGCCACGCCATTCAAATGGAGTCTTTGCCGGCAAGGGAATATTCCACAGAAACAGTGGCAAAGTGAAAAGTCACTGCGGAATTCGCTGATACCAGCAAGTGGCAAATAAACTTATTGTGGGGCGCAGATGGCACGGCAGTGGGTGCTTTGTTCCCTGACAGTTGAAAATGGCCTTTTAAATTTAGTGAGAGTTGCTCAAAAAACAGAACAGTGACAGAATGAGACATTCACAAGTTTTCTTTGTGCTGGACTTTGACTTTTGTTGATCTGTGACAGATGTCGGCATTTCCACACTAAACAAATTCTAATGCAATTAAAGGCGATGAAATATGCACCAACGAAATGTGAGAAGCTGTCCGAAGGGAATTGAAAATGGATTTCAAATCCTTTTAAAGATGACGCCCAATTAATAATAATAAACATTGTGTAACAGAAAACGGAGTCAAGGTTGCAAGACACATTTTGACCGCAAGTCGAACAACTTGTCAAAAAGAAAGAATCAAAAAGAGGCAAATTTGGAGCACAAAGTAAACCATCGAACCAAGGTTCGAGCCAAATCAGAGGTCAGACGGATTCACGCACCAAAATGGGCAACATTCAGTTTGAGATTTGGTATTAAGCAATTATGTATATATTATTAGGCATAATTTGAATTTATGAGCCAATTTTGATGGATGTCAGCAGCAATCTGCCCTTCAAATTTGGTTACTGATGTGGTTTTATCGATTTCCTAGCAAACCTAGCAGTTCAATATTATTTTGCACAAAAGCAATATACTCTTTAACTTCGGTATCAGAGTGTAATAAAGTCCAGCAAAATACTTGTTAATAAAATAATGCATGATAATTTTGTAATTTTGCATTTTTGCCATCAATTTACAGCAATTTGATGGTGAGGTAATTTCCGGAACGTTGCCACAACTTCTTGCTGCTATGTGTTCATGTGGCTGGTCTGCTGGTGGTGTGTAGGATGTGTGTATGTGTGGTTGGCATATAGAGAAGCATAGCATACAGTCCGCAAACGATGTCAAGTGTGGGTGTTCTGCTTTTTGCTCCTCGACCTGCGTTAAGCTTATAAAAAAGAAAATACAAAAAATAAAAAACAAAATGGGGACGGTTGCCCAACGGGGCATTTCGGGGACTGGGGGCAGTTGCTCCAAGCTTAAGCGTTTAGCGCACTCAGCGGATTACGCTTACAGTTAAAGTAAGCAGCTCAACTCACACGCTCAACTCACAAGTTCAATGACCAAACCCAACCCAACACTTCTCCACTCTCCATCCATACCAACATCCAACCAACTCTCAACCAGCGCTGCTGTGCTCGCCCCAATTAATATGTTGAGGCAAAAGCAACGTTTTGCAAATTATGCACATGTTATACAATTTGCGAGTTATTATCAAATAGCCACAATTCAGAGTGAAAAGCAGAACAAGTATGGCTGTTGATCCTGATCAATAATGTATGCACTTGATGAGGTCGGGTATGCCTCCTTCTGCCTCTTTCATACATACATTTGCACAAAACCATTATACCCTTTAACCAATTTTCAATGGTTTCAGGGTATACAAATGAGTAGACTACAAACTACTCAAACTTGTACGTTGTTATTGAGCAAATTCTAGCAATTGGATGCCTTGGTGCAGTTGCAGCAAGCTCTAATTCTAATTGGATTCCTCGATGCAGATGCAGATGCAGATGCAGTCAGAGAAAACAAAATAATATTTTGTTGCTGTGAAAAAGGGGAATTGAAAATTGATTTACACAAATTGAACATCAGTTCCTGTTAAGATGACGTGCAATTAATAATTACATTGTTTTACAGCAAACGTAGTCAAAAGATTGAAAGGCAGATTGGAATCAAGAAAACAAAAGAGGCAAATGTAAGCCAAGATTCCATACAAACTGTGAACCGAGGCCCTCTTCTATCAAGGAGCAATACATATTTATTGTTGAGTAAATATGTATTTGCTATTTGGGAGAATTTACATTTCGTAATACCATTTGGCTTCGATTGTTTGCATAGGCTACCGACCCTTCCCTTCCCATCCGCACCGCCCCAAAACGAAAATAGAACCCAACACAATGCCATAATAATTTATACCAAAAAATCAAGAGGGTTCATGTCCATTCCCTGGCGCTATAAATGTTGCGGGAAAAGGGACTGAAATCGCAACTCGAATCGAAACAAGATTTCGAGACTGAATGCCACTCGAACGTTGCGCTGGACAACCAATGGGAGCAACAGCCGCAACAAACAACACACAAGAAAGGCAACATGAAATTGGATTTGGATGACGGAACGAATCTCAGGCCGGAATGAATGACCACGCCGAATGACTAAAAGTGGACTCAACCAAATGAAAGAGCCAAGCAATCGAAAAGGCAAACACAGAACTCTCTGCTTTGGCAAAAAAAAAAAAAAAAAAGAAAAAAAAAACAGAAAATACCAATTTCATATGTTGCCAGAGTGTCTCGAGACAAGTCAATACACTTACCCTATTATTCTGAAATTATAATTCCGAAAACCTGGAATAAAATGTATCGAATTTTCAAGGTGTTTCTGCATTTCGAAAAAACATTTAAACTCTCAGCCTATAAAAGCCGAGCAAATAAATATCATTTCGTATTGCTTAATAATGCTTAAAACAAACAAAATAAACACCAACATTTTGGCAAGCCTTTCTTTTGCCATTTGCATAGATGACAATTTGCCATAAGGTTTTAGTTGAATTTTTAAAGAAAAATAATTTAATTTCAGTTATTTGCAATGAAGAAACATAATACATTTAATCATGGTTATGAAGGAGACCTTTGGTGAACTGATAAAGATGATCAAATCAATAAATGTCATGTTTGATGATGTCAACACACATTTTGAACCCACAGCAATGCACTTTAACTATACTCAGAAGAACAACGCTTTTCTTGCTTTTAGAAACAGTTCTCAATATACGAAATACATTTGTTATTTAAATTGTATAGGTTATTTTCAATTTGTCACAAGTAGTTTCTGTTATTAAAAAGTAAATGAAACAAATTAGATTGAGAAATCAGTTAATTATATGAATTAATTCGCGATTCCATTATGAGTCTCCGTTGAGTGGCAAAATTACTAATGATCGACTTATTTTCCAGTATCTGTGCTGGATATTGGACATACATATATTTTCTGGCAGTTTACAATAATCTTTTCGTCTTTAAAATCCTATTAATAAGGTGAACTGTCCTTGGCCCCAAAAGTATCATGAATTTCTGGGGTGATTTTTTCGCTAAGTGCACTTGTAATGATTTAATTCGGGAATAGTTCGGTGCAATCAATTTGCGTAACCACAACAGTTATGAATTGAATGTCAATAAATACAATTGGAACAACCAACGGGATGTTTTGTGGTCGGGTTTGGTTTTTCCTCTTTGACAATTCAATCTTTTTTATGCTGGCAAACGACAGACGGAAACGGAAATGGGCATTTGAGCGGACAGCGTTATAGATGCGGTCATCAACAGTCGGCCAGTTGACTGCTGTCACATGCAGCTCGCAACTTGCAACTCGCAGCTCGCAACTTGCAACACTCAATTGCGTGTGTTGTGCCTGCTGAACCAGCAATTTTCGTTGGTCTAGACGGCGGCCACATTTCTCCAACCCCCAACCCCAACGCCCAACAACTCCACGCAGAGCGGATTGAATATCACGCCAAGTTCCAGAGGATGGTGGCATGGATATCAATTACAGTGGTCGTGCAACATTATTTCTTGATACGAAAATTGCGACTGCTTTAATACTAAAAAAGTTTCGCTGAAA